TATAGCTATAAAAGAGTTCGATGGTCTGATCGGGATCTATATACATAAAATATGTGTACGGATCACATGAACAAATATATTTTATAGGTATATGACCAGTGTTCGGTTATCATTGAATTTTTTAAACTCTTTTTTACATATTTTTTGGTATAAAATAACTTTTCACATGGCACTTGGGTTACCGGCAAAGTTAGTAAATACTGATAAGCAATGACTAGTATAGTAAGCATTAGAGTAAAGATTATACTTAATCAAAACATTATAACAAATGCTACAATGTTTACATGTCTTACATAGCTTTGATATAACTTTATCCTTATTTTCATTTTCTGTGTCACTATTTAAGTACAGTTTTTCAATATATTCATCATCTACAGATTTCTTTAAATTTTCCAAGACTTTGAAAAACTTAAAATTTCTTCAGTTTATATTTTATTTCATTTTCATTGTCTTCATCAAAATATAGTTTTAATTTTACAGCTAATTTAGCAAAAGCATTTTTAGGTAGTCCAATCACAAATAAATCAAAATTAATAGGTGATAATAATGTTAAATCAAGTAGTATTTTGTTATTATTTGTAAATCAGTTTTGCATACTTTATATAATTGTATCAAATACTCTGTTATATACATTAACAATAAACTTTTTTTCAACATTCATAATAGTATCATCAGTAGCTTTATAACTTGACATTTTTTTTCTTTCTAAAAATATGTTTAACTTCAAATTGACTTTGAACTTCTTCGATTTCCAAATCTCCATTAGATTCATTAATCCATGTTGAAATTGTATCTTTATTTTAGAAATAAATTCATTAAACATACTCTTTGTAAGTTCCATACTCCTTTTACTTTTTTTAAGTTCAATTAAAGACACTTCAACCATTTGAATGCATTTAAGAATGTCTAATCCACTAGTCGGTAAGTATCCTGATAGTAGGCCAGTGATAGAAAAAATCTTCATAAATATATGTGCGATAAGAATTGTTTCATATTTTAACAATGCTTTCAATAGGTTAGATGCTTTTGTTCAAATGTTTGGTGTAAATGATTCGAACAGATTTTAATAAGTTCAATGATCAAATCACGGTACATGGCTTCATCAAACATTACACATATACCAAAAATCCTATTTACTGCTGTTTGTTTCGATGTCCACCTTGTATCTCCAATTAGTTGTAAACGCTTAAGACAAACTTTTTCATTATTTTTTTCACTTATACTTCTCCATATATTCATTCACTTATATGACTCTTTGATAAAACTGCACATCCATTGATTAGATAAAAAAAATTTATTACCATTACTGGATTCTTAGTAGCATCACAAATTACTAAGTTTAACGTTTAAAGTATGCGACTAAAACACCAAACATGGATTTGTTCTGGAGCTACTCTACTTAGCCATGAAGTGAAACTATTATAAGTACCTTGCATATTTGCTGCTCCGTTAGTCGTGTTACCAATGCATTTAGATGTATTAATATTAACTTCATTCATAGCACTTTGTAAAAATTCCATCATACCTTTTCCAGTAGATTCTGTACAATATTTAACAGCTATTAATTTTTTGTTAATTTTTCCATTGAAAATATAGCAAAGAATAATAGAACATTGGCCATCACTGATACGTCTTGAGTGGTGTCAATTAAGACCAAAAACATACCAGCTGTTGAAATTTGCCCAAATTTGATTTGTTTTATTATTAATGAAATTGTTGAACTGATACTGCCAATGGTATAATGGCTAAGAAAAGTCATAAAATTGCCTCTTCCTTTAGATCCTTTTAAATGATTGTTTTCACTTTTATTAATAATTATATTTAAATATTCATTTAACACTGCATCATACTTACTCAACAATATAATCATTTCCAAAAAGGTACTGTGGTCTAATGCAGGATATCTTAGAAAATATGCTGCCTTATTACATTTTCCCTTAACGCTTAAACCTCGTTTTCCTAATATTTTAATAACTTCAATTATTCGTTCTAAGATCTGCAGATTTTTTTTACTTCTTCACAATGTAGATGTATTTGATTACTGTTTAATAAACTACCAATATCTTTTTGATAGTAGTATATGAAATAGGCATCATAACATTATACATAATTTTTAGTATTTTCATGTTGGTAAATATGTTTCCAGTCGGTCATTCCACAAATAAAAGGGTTAGTTTCTACTGAGAAAACTAAACAAACCGAATAAAACATTTTCTTGTTGGTTTTGTCATATGTACACTCGGTTCTAACTGTTTTATTTTTATGGATAAATGCTTTTTTACTAACAAATGGTAAAGTTGAATCATCACAAGGTTGAATTGGATGAAGATTAAAAAAGTATTTGAGACTGGTTAGTTTGGGTTTTAAAAAACATGGAATGTTGTGGTTTTCAGTTTGATTTATTTAAAAATATTTATTTACACATTAGTAATATAGTATTTGCATAATTTATATTATTTATAAACAAAGTATTTTATTGTTAATTTGGTGAATTCATACAAGAGAATATAAGTTTTTCACATTTATATAAATGTTATATTATTTTTCTACTCTAATGTATCAAAAATGTTTTTTCTGTTCAAGAATATGTACTATAAATTAATTATTATTATACTAGACATCTAGACAGTTCTTATTTTAAAATAATTAAAACAATAATTTACCTTAAAGGAATGTATATGAATTAGTAGGCAGGTCAGTATCAGTTTTAACAAACTTTACATTTGATTCTACTGTATATTTGCCTGCAGCTTGATCTATTTTAAACATACCCGACATGAGCACTGGACAACTTTTATTTTAAAATAATAATTTACCATCAAGTGTTGTGTTTGAAAGCATCTGAAATTCTGTATTATTATTATCCTCATATTTGCAATATGATTCTGCTATAAATTTTTTGGTTTAACCTATTTTAAATAAAAATAATAATAATTCCTACTGGTTTTTGACGTTTTCATATTTTAAAGAGAATTTTCCGTAAATTTATGCAGTAAAAAATATTAACTACTTACAGGCTAAATAACGAAATAATATTTGTGCAATTTTGAGCTGACTTGAGAAGTATTTTTTTTTTTCATCACGTTCTTTTTTTCTGCTTCTCCTTTTATTTTCAACGTGTTTGAATTGTTCATTATGAGAAAATTAAATTGTAGAAATGTAATTTGTTTGTAAAGAAAAAACAAAATAAGTAACAATGAAAAACAACAGTTATAATGATTTAAGAATAATTGTGATAATCCTATGTTTTCATATAATCATTTATCGTGTTAACTGACGTACATAGTTATTATTTACGACCTAAGAATATACGATTAAATTCTATAACTAGAACTCAAAACTAACGCGATAGATAAGAACTTGTAGGAATCAAATACTCGCCAGTATCCATTCGTACAGTCGTATGCACATACATCACATACATCACAGTAGTCAATAATTATCGACATTTGATATTTAATATAATGTTCTGATGTTAATTTATAAGTATAATTCATAAATCACTTTAATATTATAACAAGATTTATTTGTACTGAAGGTGAATAAATATTAATTGATATTTTAAACAATATTGAGCACTGATTATACTATTATTGTTATTAAATGAAATGTTTAAACAATTTTTTTTTTAATTGTTCGGCCCATATATTATTCAGTATCGGCCTATCTGGAAAATTCTAGATTTCCAGATTGGTCACTCTGCCCCTGATATTATGTATATCAAAATTTCTAGATAAATATTCTCTATTAAAATCTGTGTTCAAAATGGAGGATTTTCATTTGAAAATCAAAAGTATACACTTATTTAAGATATATGGAGTACGGAAAAAAAAATTTAAAATGGTTTTAGAATAAAGCCTGATTCCACGATTAAAAAAATACAGGAATCAAATTCCCTTAAAATCCTCCAAAAAAAATCTGGTTCATGATAAAAATCACCTGATATATATCATATTATGGCAAAATAATTATTTATACTTTTAACATTTTCTTTAATAATATTTGTTTAATATTGTACCTATATTTCCATTCTCCCAATATATTGAGAAAATCAAAAAATTACCTGCTTAAAGTACTTCCCCAACAAGATTTCCTTTCAGAAAAAGTGCTACGCTTAATACTTCGGAGCAGGATCTTTGGTAGAAAAGTTGTCCATAGAGAAAAAAAAAATATTGTAGAACCATAAGCTTCTTCCCTCCACTCAGAATCTATTACGATTAGCAATCTATAAGCTCGTAACAATTTTAAACGTAATTTTTGGCCAGTAATTATGTAAATGAGCCACATAGAAGTGAAAATCTTTTAAAAATGTTTAATTGCGTATAGCTTACAAGTTTTTACGTACATCCACATATTTATATAAAAAAAAAAGTTTCTTATATTTAATTTATTATATTATCTGCCTACCCTCTCCATGGGTATAATGGAGTTTGCGATAGGCTAACATCCTATCCTATCCTATCCTGTAAAAATCCCTTGTTCAGGTATCAATCATAAATTAGACTCGGAATTGTGGATCAAAGAACTATAGACTGGAAAACTGGAAATTGGATTTACCTCAGCCGTGTTGATAAGGGTTAGATTGATTTGTGAGTAAGTGGATAAACCACCTTCACGACCATGCTATACAATGCTATACTATTCATCGCCAGGCAAATTTTTGTTAATTTTTGCCAAGACTTTTTTTTTGTTTAAAACCTAAAAACCTAACGCTGTAATTCAGTTGTTTTTCAAAAAGTAGGTGATTGGGATCTTCACTAGCATATAGATCTGTTAGGGGCAGTGATGTAATTTGAGGCGATCCAGAGGTAGCGAACCCCTAGAATAAAAAAAAACCAAAACAAAAAACATGTTTCTGTGAATCGGATTGTTAAGAGGAAATGGTAGCATGAAACTCCAAGCTCACTTTTCTTATATTAGGTTGTAAATATTATATAGAATTTGTATTATTTATTATTTTAATAAACAGAAAATATGAATATTTTTAAATAAAAGGTTCACTTCTTACTCTGCTTAATATTTAAAAACAAAAATGTATATCAGTTGATATTCAACAATATTAATTTAATTTAAAACAAAAAAAAATCACCTTAAAATCAATTTAATAATCTATAAATGAATTCAACTTAAAATTTAACTCAGTACATTGTTTTTACTTATTATTTTAAAATTATAATTAAATAAATTTTCACAATCCATTTTTAGATTATGTAGGCATTAATGCAACTGATTAATATATATTATCTTCAATACACATTTGTATATAATTATCAATCTAAGTTAAATTCCTCTTGATCTGAATCATCTTCATTTTCGTCAAATTGTTTTTCAAATATTTTTTTATAGACAACAAATTCTTCAGTAGTTACTCCAGCAACTTTAACAGCAAACTGCTTATCATTTGTTTCCATAATTCTCTTTAATGAAGGATTACCAGTTATTTGATTTGACTTTTCAGCTTTTGGATCTCTTGGTTTGAACATACCAAGTTTTACTAAAAAACTATGTCTACATTTTATGTCAAAAAGTTTTGAAGACATCACATTAGTTGTTACAAATTGAGTAGGGCCAAATTCCATATTTAGCATAACATAATCAAGTTTAGCTTCAAGGTGTGTCCAACTATCAAACAAAACATTTGGGGAATATGATATTAGTTCTAACAACCAATTACGTTTATTTCCAACATATGCCAAAAGTTTAGGGATTCTGGATAACAAATCCTTATCATCCAACAACAAACAACAAGGTTGATTAACTATTAATTGTTTTAATTTTTGGTCATCAAAACGTAAATTAGTCCATACACTCATACATTTGTGTAAATTACTGTTATTTACCCTTAATAAATCTGGATTTGAATCAATCATTTCTAAAATTTGAGATTTTTTAAAATCGTATTGACTCAAATAATCAAAAAACTTTAGCCACTGTTTTTTAGAATATCTTAATTTGTTCTGATGATTATTGAAAACTTTAGCTAATTCTTCATTGTTTAAATTTAACTCTTTTGACAATTTTTGTATGTCTTCTGGAATAACATTTGTTTTGGATGTTACAATAGTCATACTTCTGCATGAAAGTGTTTTAAGTCGACATGTATAACAAGTGCGTAATATTCTCATTGGCAACATTTTGGAAACTGAAAAAAATAAGATTACATTTGTAATATCATTATTTTATGTTCTATAATTTTTACAAAATAGAATAGTAGACAATTACATTAATTTATCTTTAAATTCATGGTCTCTAATTTATTAACTATTAGCATCATTAGATGAATGTACAAATTAAATTTATTAGTATCAGTAAACTTAACTTTACCTAAGGGTATTACCAGGTTCACCTCTAGCTTTTGGACTTGGAATATTTTTTCCTAAACTTTAAACCCAAAGATTAAACAACATATTTTTTTTAAAAATAATTTTACTTTCAGTACTTGTGTAATATTTTTGCTAACTATTAAAAATAATGTGTTTTATTAACAGAATATATAATGCTAAATTACATGTGTCTATAACTAGATATTAAATAATACACTTCATTATTTTGATTAAAGTTATAATTTAAAATTGTAATTACTCTGTATTATGATAAGTGTGTTGTATTGACAATACGTGGACTTGTTTATATTACATTAATCCAAAAGCTGGAACTGAACTTTAGAAATGGTGGTGGTCGAATTTGCTGAACTGCTAAGCTGAGGCCACGGACTACTTAAGCTCAATAGTATATAGTACTATACTAGTACTCGAAACTTACAGATTATTTAAATATGGTAGAATTTATCATGTATATACAAAATTTCGTGATTTCTGATAAAGTTTTAAGGATTTGAGAGCAGATCAGCAGATTAGCTGAACTGCTAACGCAATTCAACAAAATACTGAACTAGGTTATAATGCAATTGCAATTTTCAACGAAAGCACTTGCAGATCTGGGCTAAAGTAGCCCATGGGTCCAGTACATTAGGCACACCCATATAAAAAAAATAGAATATAAAGAAATAAAAAATATTAAATTATTTAGGTACCTATGGCAATTAGCATTATAGCATAGATTACCAAATTAAATCCATAAAAATTAATTATGTATAAGCTAAGACAAATAAAATGTCAATACCATATTCTCCAATTATAAATTTGAAACAATTTATTTGAAATACTACTTTGTATTATAGACAACATAAATTAACATAAGTAAGATTACATTTTAATGATATATTATGATACTTAATAGCCTATAATACTATTCTGGTTTACTTACTTTATTGTACGTTGATATATGTACATATAAAAACAAAGAGTAAAATTAATATCTATTTAATAAATTTTATAATATTTTAGTAAGAAAGATAAGTAATTAATCTAATCCGTAAAAATTATTTTTGAAAAAATGTGAAACTTAATTACACCCCACAGGTTTTTATTTAGTATTTTAGTATTTTCTTTACATATTGATATTAGTTCATTAAATTAAAATGATAACAGTAAAAAATAATAAGTTGATAAGTTGATAACTGATACGAGTGCCGGGCAGTTGTTCGATAATGATAAGATATTTTTATCACTAACCAGCTACGTGTACACCAATGTAACATAATAAAATATCTCAATTATTTGAAATATTATGACTGTTATGAATATATTTTATTCATATACAGATTATTATTAAAGACTTTTGATTTGGTTGACCATGGTATCTTGTAGTCAAAACTTAAAAAACTCGGTATAGGATATCCACTATTATCATGGTTATCATTTTACTTGTCTTATAGGCCATTCTGTGTGAAATTAAACGATCATCTGTCAAATAATACAATTGCTACATCCGGCGTACCTCAGGGCGGCCATCTATCCCCTCTCTTGTTCATTATTTCTATAAATAATATTGAAGCTTTTTTCAATTCATGTACTAATATGCAAATATCTACTATTTGCCGATGACCTAAACATCTATCGCCAAATTAATTCATTTGATGACTAACCAGTTACAAAATTATTTAAATGAACTTTCAGCATGGTTTCTTTAAAACGGTCTCAATAAACCCTTCTTAGTGTAAATACGTTTCATTTAACCGTTTAAGAAATAAAATTACAACCACATAATATAGTATTAACAATTCTGAATTACATGTATTTTCTACCGTGCATGATTTAGGTGTTTAATTATCCTCTAGTCTCACATTCAATGTGCATTTCGCCTTACGGGTACTAATTAATTTGTAGACATTATTTTCGAGCCGGACTAACTTGTAACTTGTTCAGATTGAGTCGGTCCAACTTTTCGGATTTTCGTATTGGATTGGATAGGATTAACTTCAAATTTCTATCGAGTCAGATCGGATCCATTTTTGTCGGTCCATGTCAAGTTTTATAGTAGCGACACAATGCGCGGCGTTAACCTTGTTTATTTAATTGTAAAATAAAAAATGTGTTGAAAAAAGTTTATACTTTCCGATCTAATAAGTGTACTTAAATGGATATCCCGGTATTGGTTTTACTATGTGTGGTTATTTAATTTTTTTTTGTCTGTAAATAACTTTTCCACTAGAAATTTTGTTCCAATCGAAAAACTACAAAAAAACTTTTTTTGCAACATTTTGGATCTATAGTCAATGCATTTTTTTCATCAAGTTTAATTTTTGATTTTTGTCATAATAATTTGTAAAACCGAAAAAACAGATTTAAAGATGTAAAATTAGTACCTATTTAGGTATTATTTGTAATTTTTTTGGTCTACAAAAAATTTTTATCCGAATTATAAGAGTAGAATATTTTCTGTAAGAAAATTTTTATCAAGTTGATGTAAAAATAGCCATTTATTGATTTTACAATATTTTATCGATACTATTAACAAAGTAATCGTAACAATCGTTAATAATCGTAATGGTAGGTAGGTACCTAAGAATCGTAGTATCATAGGTATCTTAGCAACTAGAAAATCAAGATTCGATCAAGCAAAGATATTTTGCTTGTATTTACTACCTACTCATGCCCATATACATTAATTCCATAGATAATATTGTGTATTATTTTTTTCGGTTTTTCATAACACTACATTACGCTGCTGTAGATACAAGCCGTGATACATTATTATAATACTTATAGTACCTATTAATAAGTATAGGTACCTAGGTAATAATGTGAACGTATTTTTTTTGTAATCCATTAAAAGTATTATTTCAAAAAGTGTTTTCGTCATTTAATTATTATATGTCATGTCACCGCCTGTAATACCGACTTTAAAACCGAAATTTTTTTTTGGCCTTACAACACATGTAACAGGTAACTGCTTATTTTTGAATGAAAACGAAATCATCTATCCAGCGTCCGGTGTTCTCGTAATTTATGACATCGTCAATCATAGACAAAAATATATACATCTGGCCGAGCCACAGAAAATCATTACAGCCATGGCTCTCTGCATTAACAAGTAGGTACTTATATTATGCATTAACCTTAGATATAGGTATGTCATAATTAGCAGATTCGATAAAAGATTTTAACTATTATATTATGCAAATAATTTATGTATCATTAACCCATAAAGTAGGTAGGTACATCAAATAACCACCGGCCACAATCACTATGTAGGTACATAAATAATAATTGATATTACAATAAAATTGCATATGCCTATTTAATTGTTTTAATCACTAAAGGAGATTTTAATTTTTAGTAAAGATAAGGTTAGATTAGGTTAGATTAAGTACCTATATACCTACCAATATAGATACCTAAGTAAGTAATCATTTTTTTTTTTAAGTTGAATTAATTTCATAATTAATTATGTGATTTGGAATCCACTACAAATTGTGCACTTAAATCTAATACAGGGAGCCCTGCAGTGTAAATCCTTATACTAATAACTCTACCAATATTCATATTTTTTTTGCAATTGTGGTTTGTGCGAGGGGAACACATATATAAAAAAAAATTAAGTAAATTTATATTTTCATCAATTAATCACTGAAAAAAATAATTAAGTAAATTTTTATTTTCACCACTTAATCACTTAAAAGAATAATTAATTTGAAAAGTGATAAAATAAGTTTTTTTTCAGTAATTAAGTAATTATTTGGAAATTCAGTACTTATGAAAATAAGAATTAATTTTTCTATACTTTTGTGTAGGAGGACAGAACCCGCTTGAAACAAAAAAAGAGATTATTGACAGGATTATTAGCATAAGAATAATACTGTATGCAATTCTGTATACAGAACATAACATAAAGACTTGACTAAAATAACTTTTGTTCAATATTTTTAAGTTTTTTTTTTTTTTTTAATAATTTCTAAAGCCTTGTGCTATGATTACTCAGTTTTAGATTTGTTTAAAAACTAAAAATAAAAAAAACTGTTTTACAAAATTTAAGATAACTATTTCATAAATGTAAATTTTAAAACAAAAATGTTGATGTATAATCAATAAGTTTCTTCAAGTTTAAAAAATCATAAACAAATTATTTTTGTAGAAAAATTGATGAATCAATTGATATTATTTTGTAGTGGCAATGAAAACAATTTAAATTATCTTTAACTTCAAAAAAATAATATTTAAATTAGGTGTTAAAAAAAACTTTATAAAGATAAATATGTTTACCTATGTCTCGATAAGCACCCATTTGTTTTTTAGGAACGTTATAGCAGTGGCAGAAAAAGGCAATAAAAAGAAGCCGACAATCAGTATTTATGATTTAAACCTGATGGAACGTATAAAACAGTTAACTGTGCTAACTGATTTAAAATCAGATAATTTTATCAATATAAAGTTTTCATTTGATGACACTTATTTAGCAGCACTAACTAGTGGGCCAGATTTCATGATGTATTACTATAATTGGGAAAATTCTAAAATCGAGAGCTATGTGAAGGCCACTAATCCTCCAAATGCTGAAGGACCCGTATTAGATGTAAGATGTGTCATACAATATTGAGAATAAAGGTTTATTTTCTTTGGTTAAAACACTAAATAAAACTAATATTATTATTAAAATATTAAGTAGGTATTAAGCTATATTATTTTTTAAACTTCAAAAAAGAACATTTTTGACAGATGGCATTAAATCCAACTGATAATACAATTTGCTGTTTTGTGGGCAAAAAGCTTTTTCGATTGGTAACTATCAGTGATTCTATTTGGCGACAGTATGGTTTCCAAAAAGCTGACAACTTGGATTTTTCTACTGTATGCTGGTTAAATGGTGATAGGTATTGCATGTTTAAATGTTATATTAAAAATTTCTCAAGTCTTTCCAATGTTAATAAATGCTATGTCCAATACTTTTATGTACCAAATTATTACATTAATCTGTATAAACATTTTAATTTAAATTATTAGACCTAAAACTATTAATTACATAACATATCTTAAAGTACTCATAATACATATAGACAAATTTAGAATTTTTTATGAAATTAAAATTAAAGCTCTATACCTACTTAGGTACTTGAAAAAAATGAATAACATACCATTTCATTTTTGGAAAGTCTATAAAAGTATTTATATTGTTATAAGTATTATAATATTGTGTAGGTCGGTATTAAGATTATTATTTATTAGTTAATGAAAAAAAAAAATGTTCAAGGATTTTAGCAGGTACTATGGATGGTCGTATTGTGATAATAGAAAATGGAGAACTTATAGCTGTATACAATGCCAAATCAATAATAGATTTTGATTTAAAAATTAGAATAAAGGCCCCTTTAGATGTAGTTCCGTTAACAAAATATGGCAATCAACGAATGGACATAAGATGCTGTACGCCGTTGAAAATAGGTTTAGTATTTGTTATTGGTGATTCCTGTGTTTATTACTACGAAAAAACATCTAATCACAGGTATGTACATAGGTAGGTGGAAGCTTCAAATTTGAATCTCTAATGTTAAATTAATAGGTATAAAAAACTAAAAGAATTCTTGAAACAAGCTGATCAAAACTTGAAAGCTTTAGACACTGATAAACCCATGCATACTATAGAAACATTATCTATCAGCCCAAAAAACTTAAAAATGATTTGCGTTACAAGAAGATCTCAATTATTTTGGGTACCCTTGACTGAAATTTCAAATAATATATCTTTGGTAAGTCTTAGGAAATAATGTTAGTGGTATATTAAAATATAATAAAATCTATTATTATTATTATTAAGTTTAAGCCCCTCGGTGAAGATTTGCATCATGGTGGAATTTCTAGCTTGTCAACTTGTAAATGGAAACCTATATTTATAACATGTGGCAAAATTGATCATACTATTCGAGTTTGGAATTACTTGGACTGTTCATTATTACTATCACAACAATATCAAGAAGATGTGTTTAGTGTTTCTCTGCATCCTTCTGGATTATATTCGGTAGCTGCATTTACAGGAAAAGTAGAGTTTCAACTAGTGCACACGGAAGGTTTAAAGGCATGGAGGGAATTTTCAGTCACGAGTTGTAATTTGACTGAATTTAGCACGTCTGGTCATATGTTTGCTTTGGCTAACCAATTTGACATTGATGTTTATTGTTCAGTTAAATTTGAGAAAAGATTTACATACAAAGGGCATTCGAACACAGTAAGTGATGGCTGTAGGATTTGATAAAAATAAATATGTATGTAGGTAAGCATTTTTGTTACAAAATAATTAATTTTAGATTACAGCCATGGTGTGGGCACTGAATGATATGAAATTAGTCACGTGTGGAGAAGATGGTGCTATATATGAATTTAATACGAGGTCTGGTAAAAGAGACATGGATATCGTACACCCGAAATTAATTTACATGGATTTGGCTATTTCAAATGACACCAATCAAATTTTTCCGGCTGCTCAGGATGGTAGATTCAGAGAAATATACAATCAATCGGTTTGAATAAATACATTTTTTTTAAATTTAACTTTGTATACTTAGTTATATTGACTATAATAGTGTTAAATCACTGTAGTATCCAAGATTCAAATACAATTATTGATTTCTATACTTACAATATGTTGAGACCCAGATAAACATTAAACTCATAAGATTTTAAAATACCGCCATAGCTGTGACGACATACTCTTCAGGAATAAACATATTCAACTAAATTATTTTGTATCGATTAATATAGTAATATATATAATATATATACACATTCATCTAAATGTTCATCTATGTTACCACAATAAAAATGTTAACTCTAATAGATTTACTAAAGTTTGATGTTTTGTTTTATTTGCATTGTAAATATATTTTGGTTATTGGTAGTTATACAAATTCAGAATTTTAATTTTTAACACATTTAAAATATTTACATCGTTAAAATAATATTTAGAATTTATGTACCATATTACAATGAAAATAACTTAAATAATTATGTCATATAAATTATCTAGGTTATCCGTGATATAGATTTACACCAAGGACCATTAGATGCAATAACTTTATCTAGATCAGATTTAATTCTATTCGTAGCTGGTCAAAACGGTGTTGTATCATCTTTAATGTTGCCTATCATGGCTGAAATTAAGCATAAAGAGTTCAACATCCACAACAAGAACATTACAAAGGTTAATACTACATTAAAGCAATAATGTTACTTAAAAAACTTAATTTAAGCAATATTTTTCAGATGAGTATGTCAATAGATGATTCAATTTTAATTACTTGTTCGGTAGATGGGAGCATATGTATATGGGATGTTTTAGATGCTGAAGGCAAAAAGGTTATTTTAAATGAACAGTTTGCTTATTCTGATGATATCTTAGTAAATGCTTTGGACTTGAAAAACAAAATCGAAAACATAACTGAACTTAGAGTAAGAGTGAAAGAACTGGAAAAGGAATGCAAGTATCAGGTTACTGAACTTACAAAGTCTAAAAAACAACAGATCCAGGAGTTGAATAATAATCATTCAGTTCTAATAAAAATATTAGAAAACAAAAATGCAGTAAGACAATAATAGTAATTAGGAATATGAGTATGTTCAAAAATGTTTCATATTATATGAACATTTTAGGAAATAACTAAAAAACATATGGCGGATAAGAGTCGGTTAGAAATGGAACTTAACCTTTTAAAGGATTCCCATGTACAAGAGTTGGAAGAATTGGAAATTAATTATAATCAAAAACTCTTATTCGAATATCAAAAATATGACATACTTACAAAAGAGTTGATTAAAACTAACTTGGAGTTGGAAAAGTAATAAATTAATTTATTATACCTATTTCAGTAGTTACAAAAATAATAGTGGTATATATATATATATATTATCTAAATTAAATTATACTACAAACTGCTTTTTAATTCCTATTATTTATATATATTAGAGGTTTGAACAAATCTGAATCTGAGCAGAATGAAAAGTTACAAGAAATAATTAATCAGTATAACATAAAACTTAAGGAAAAAGATGAACATATTATTAAAGTAAGTTGTATACTTATACGTATTATTATGTATTGGATGAAAGAATATCAGAATATATACACAATAATATATAACTTGTTTGCTATATTATATTTCTAAATATGTTAGGGTTGTCATTTATTTGAGAGTGAAAATCAGAAAATTTTAATTAAAGGAAAAGTATACACCATCAACTCTAAAATTAAGTATAATACGGCTTATACCTATTTTGATAATTCTAATTATTTATGTACAGTACTCATTCTTAATAAAATTCAATTTCCCCAGTTCTCCTCTCACTAATTAAAGGTTCTTAATTTTCAATAAGCATTTAACTCAAAATACATAGATTATTATTATACTTCATAATCAGGTATACAATTAAAAAATGAAAGCATCTAATCTAAAACACTTTACAAACATTTAAAAATAAATATATATACTTGTTTGTTATCCCCAACCAGTATGCTATAATAAATGTATCGTCCCATCAAACAATATGAAAATTAAAAATATAAATAATTACATTTTAAATTATTATAGTAAAAATTAAAAAAAAATTAAATTGAATTTAAAAATATAAAAATTGTAAAGAAATATTATTAAATTAATTAAATTGTGTATTATTATAATAGTAAAAATATATTGTATGATAAAGTAAAAATAGTTTTAAATTAGGATGGAGTTGTGATCCCTTAATAGACATCATATGACCATTTTCATACATTTCACTAACTTTGACTATTTCTCTTTTGTACAAAATTTAATTTCTCTATTATCATTGAAAACTACCAAGAATAAATCATTAAAATTAATTTTATTGTGTTTCGTTATTTTTTGCATAGGTATAGTAGGTAACGATAACAAATGTCAACAATGTATTAACGTCTAATATGTCATCTCATTATCTACCTAAAATAGATCACTTATCGCAAAATAAATATTAATAGTTAGGAAAAAATTCCCATTTTCAAGGAATATATTTATTATTTATTCCTTTTTTTTTATATTATTTAGCGGAGCAATACATTTATGGCGTACTGCCAGGTTGATAACAAACAAGTACTCATTTTTTCTTCTATAAAATGTTAGATTTATACAAATGTTTTTCATTTAAATTTTAATTACATACTGAAGTCTTTTGTTAAATAAAGTTACCAATTATTTATAACATTTATACTTTATAAGCAGATAATTAAATTCTAGACAATCCACTCAAAAACAATTTATAACAAATAGTTTTGTACCACAATTCTTTAATATTTATCAGTAATCAAATATTTATTTAGTATTATAATTAATTAGAATTACTTTAAACATTAGAACCCTGGAATAGATCTTAAAGGTTTTTAAAAAATGGATATTTTTAAATTTTTTTCCTATATTTTAGGGAACCAGTATTATTTAAAATCGCAATTGTGATTTGATGAAAATTGGGGCAGTATGTTTAAAATCAATATTCTGCCTTAATCGGGACAAATGGCAGCCCTATTATAGGTTTTTTTTTTAGATTAGTTAAATACTGAAATTACAGACGCATACAATTTAAAATAACTCAATAATAAAATGAAAATTATAATATTTTTATATAGTTAAAAGAACAATTAATTAAAGATAAACAAAGTATGACAGCTCTAATGGATAAAATTGAAAATGACACAGACAAGGAAGTTCTGGAGAAAAAAGCTGAGTTTATGGCTAAAATAAGGGAATTAAAAAAAATAAATTTAAATCTAAGAGGTGAACTTGGATCATTTAAAATGAAAGCTAAAGCGTTGGTATCTTTGTTTTATCTATCCAGATAATACATACTTTATTTAAATATTATAATAAATAATGACAATTATATTGGTAGGGCTTCAAAAGAAGCAGAGGACTTAAGTCACCTAATTGAAAAATATAAAGATGATATACAGCAATTAAAAATTTTAGTTAAGAACGAAGAACGGACCATTTTGGACCTTAAAAATCAAATACAAGTTCGTGATTATAATATAGAGCAAAAGGAAACCCAAATTTTTGAAGAGAAACTTAAAATGAAAGATTTAGAAAAACAATTACTACTGAAGACAGAAAATATTAGTGAATTACAACAAATAGTTGAACCATTAATAATGGAAATACAAGATAAAAAAAAAATAATTGAAGATGTAAGTGCCTATCTTTCCTTATCTGCATGGGAAAATGTACATATATGTACAATAAATTATTCACTCCGAATATTTTTTCTTTAACAATAATTTATTTTTGGGTACAGATATAAATTAAAATCCTTTTTACATCCTATCTTTCCAACTTCTCACCCACCACAGTAGCCTACTCACCGTGCGAAGTATGTCCATCTTTTTTTTAGTATGAACTTCTATAATTTTTTTTAATTTTTTTTTTTTTACAAATAATTTGATTGATCTGTTAAATAATTAAAAGATGGAATCAGAAATGGAAAATATGACATCAGTAAAAAAACAAATGAAATTGTGTATATCGGAACAACATGACAAGTTAAAAGCATGTAACCACAAAGTAAAAAAGAAAGAACAAATTATCCTAAGTGTTAATAGAATTATAAAAAAAATTCAAATTGACATCCATTCTATTAGTGAATACTATCAAGATCCAGTCAAGCTAAAAGAAGTAGTGAAAGTAAGTACACAGCGTAATTACAAATTATGACATTAAGATTTATTTATAAAAAGTATTTGCCTTATTTAAAAAAAAAAAAAAAAATATAACTTTAGAGTAAATAAAAAGTTTTCAGAAATGGGTTGTACCCAGAACATTGAGAATCTATCCATTTTATAATTATTATGCTTGTTCATTGTAAATTATTATTTGAAATATTCAAACCCAATACCAATGAAAAAAATCAGAAAATTTAATCTAGAATTATTTATTTATCTCAACGGTCTAAAAAATTAAAATGCTTAAATGTAAATGTATTGATATTCAAACATAAATTAATACATTAATCTAGAAATTATGAGGTAAACATGGTTCGTTGGAAAATAAACTAATATATTCAGATAAATTTAATAATAAAATACAGTGAATTCCACTTAATGTGATCACTGGTTTATAAAATCAACCATTTATTGGAATCAAAAATGAAAATCCCAAATCAAAGTTTATGTTACTAATGTTAAATTAAACTTTTATTAGAATCACCAAGTACCGTGTAATTGAATCACATTTATGAACATCCTTTTATCCTTTTATGGTATTGTACGTTTTTATTATAGTTTTTTTTTTTTTTATAGCTTCTAACAAATAACTTTTATGATTCAACAATTACAGTACCTAAAAATAACAGAAAGAAAAAACAACGTAAAAATAGAAATATATGTCATTAATATGCAATTAAATATGCTTAGCTATTAAATATTTTAAGTTTAAATACCAAATAATCATAATGAATAAATAGAAACTTAATGGTGATTAAATTAATGAAGTAGAGATAATTGGGTTATGGAATTTGTTATTTGTGCATTTTGGCTGTAAGGAGAGAAGAGAGGATTTATTAGTGCGGAAAGTTCTGAAATAAATTTGGAAACTATAGTTAATAGCGTTATTGGATAATAGGATATTTGAATCGGCGATAGAGACGTAAGAAGTTTTTGAAGAATGAAAAGATGATTTGAGAATGGATGACGTACATACTGTGTTCGGATTTTAACAAATTGAGTAGGTTGTTAAGCGACATTTGAAAAGTGCTTTATATTTTGGGCATCCTTTGTAGTTGAAAGTATGATCACCCGTGCAAAGGGCGCACTTGGCTGGACTGTTATAACTTGGACTTGGTGCAAATATCTGAGTTATCTACCCCACATTTAACAAAGTGTGAAGGATGATCGCAATAGTTAGCAGTATGTACGTAGATCTAACAGTTTCGACACTGGAGAGGACTATTTTTAGTCCTGTAGGTTAATTCAACTTTAATTTTGGCGTAAACATTAATGACAGATTTAAAATGTCTTTATTGTTTGTATTAGGTATGAGGTTCACGAAAAACAGTGGAAGCGGGCGTCCATTTTTAATGACGTTCACGACTCGACCGGTGGAGTAACTTAATTCACGGAGAGCATCAGATATATCTAAGGTAAGGGTCGAGTGGTGAAGATTTCTTATATCAATCTTGTAGGGTCGATATATTGGTGACATGAAAGTATGAAAAGAGGCGTCAGTGGCCAAAAGATGTTTTGCATAATTAAATTATACATTAGACGTCCATGAGGGCGGGCAATCAAATAAGAAAGCGACGACTTACAAAAGAACTAGTTAGTTTCAGTGAGTTGTTTTAGGTGTTTTTGAGAGCGGAGAAATTAATGTTTTGGACATAAATTGATGGAGCCCTGATATTGGTATGTTGAGGGGAAACAATAGTTTCGTCGATTGCGTTAGAAACATCACCAGATGTCGAGTTCGATTTCGTTGTCCTGCTTGGACGCCAGAACGGCGAAACGGTTTGGTGAAATATATGTTTTTTGTCATTTTAACTGTTTATTAGTTATATGTATTTTTTACTGTATGTTCCAAAAGTTATAGGTACAATATTCGTAATTATTATGTATTTAATTTTAATTTAAGATGGATTTACATTTCGGGCTAATATGAAAATGAAATACATAAATTCTCAAGTAGAATCGAAAATAGATACCAAGCATCTTTATTTTATTTTAAATTTATTTATTTTATGTCAAGTTTACATATAAATATAGAATCATAAAAAAAAATTGTTTTATGGAATCAACCGGTTAATAGAATCAAAATGATCTGAACCAATGTGATCACATGAAGCGGAACTCACTATATTTAGTTTAGTGTTAAAATAAAATTACTACTTATCACAAATACTGAAGAAATAAAAAAAAACTAAATTGTTCTTTATAAATTTGTATTTTCTTTAACTCGACAAATAATATTAGATTCTTAGTAATTAATTTGAAACTATTATTATCTGAATCACACATTTTTTTTCTAGTATATTTGTATTTGTATTATTATTATTGTTTATTTCCTCAAAAAAAATAATAGCCCGGTCCCACTGAACAGGTTCGTATGAGAGTAAAGGGTATATAGTTCAAAAATTGAGTAATAATGATTAATTTTAATCATTTTACTGTAGAACTAAAATTGATTTTAAACTAATTTATACAATATTGATAGTATTGCTCATAAAATCACTTTTTGGGGAAATATATCAATGAATTAAATACGTTTAAGTAAATATTGTTCCCCAAAGTAGGCTTGAGAAAAAAAAACAGCTTTTCAGATACTGATTATAGGAATGAAAGAAATATAATCTTGAAAACTATTAGAACATTTTTTTTTAGGAATTATTTATTAAATATGGCACCGAAGAAGCATTTGAAGAATCCAAAAATGAGGAACTGGATGTCAGAGTAGAGTTTACTAGGCAACGGCAAATTTTAGAACAGTCAATCATCAATTTAAAAAAACGCATAAAGGCATGCATACAAAAAAACGATTCTTATAGTAAAATCATGGAGGAGAATATGGTTCTTATAAAGGAAATTGATAAATTAAGACAGGAACTTAAAATGAAATATAAAACACGCGAGAACTTTAAAATCAAAAAAAGTAAATGCAATGCTACTAAACAAGTTAAATGCAATCAAGAGTCAGAAGCAAGTATTGATGCTGTTGAAAAACAATATAAAAAACATATTATGGTTGGTTTAATGACAATTTGAATGCAATAAAATATATTAATTAATTAATTAATTAATTAATGGAGTATTATACAACCATACTGTAGTCACGTTTTACTTTTTGACTTTGTGATTTACTTGATGATAAATTTTAATTTGAAAACATACACATCATAATACTCCAGGCGATGCATTCATTTATTTATTTGTATATTTAATTTAAATGTGTTGTTAGTTAAATAACATGGCTAATTACTTTATGGGTTTTCAGAAATTAGAAACTACAATTCAATTTTTACAGAATGAATTAAAAACAAGAAATTCACCACATACAACTCTCTAGACTTTATACAAATTTGGTAACAATATATTTCTTATATCTGTTTTATGTAGTTTAGTCTTTAATAATAAAAGTTTTTTTTTACAAATAATTATTAGTTTTAAATTTATGAATATATTAATGCTCCAGTTAACCAGTCTATAAATATAAAATACAGAGCAAATTTGAACAAAATATAATTAATAATTTTAAAGTTTGATTATATATACACAATGATTTATTGATAATAATATTAAATAATAAGTTATTTGATATATTTGTATATGAAAATACTAGTTATAATTTGTTAAAAATATATCATCTACCTAAATATTTATAATAAATGAAACAATGAAAAGTAATAAAAAAATTACAATATTATAATTTGATAAATTATTTGTTATCAATCTGTATTTTAACTGTTTACTACAAAATATACAATAGTAATTAAATTAAATATAATTTAGTAATAACAAAACACAAACCAAAATATTGAGAAAAAATCACCTATAAAACATTATATGCCCATCAAGGTCAGTCCAAGAAAAAACTTAAAAGTACATTACTAAATTAAACTAATTAAAGAAGGAATGGTACAATAGCTTTTCGACCTTTTGGGTAATCTGAAAATTCTTTTTTATAATTCCTATGTTTTCCAAGAGCCCATAATGCCATCTGATAAAATCCAGCAAATGCAAATAATCCAGCTAAAAAATAATAACAGAAATGTTTTATAATTGTGCAACAAATAAAACATCAATTACAATAAATTACCTGGGAGTGAACATGTCATTATGGTAAATCCAATCCAACTACCAACTTCATAAGTGTAGTTAGGACAAGAAACAAAGTTGAAAAGAATTGTTAAAGGATTTATAGTAGCAACAGGGATACGCCTGACTTTGGTACCAGGTGGACGAAGGTTTCGCAGTGCAATATGAATACTTAAATTTCCTAATTCGCAAAACTGAAAACATTTTAAATTTTAAATTAATGATCTTAATGAAATATCAAAATTTTAATTAATAGCTTACAATAAATGTACCAAGACCAATATAAAATTGGATTATTGATGGTGGAGTATATAATGGATGGCTAATATAATATGAAACAAAAGCAGTAAAGCCCCAATAATATGAACAGTTTTTGAAGAGATTCATTATTGGCATTGTATTATGTGAAAAGCGATGAACAAATACAGTCTCTAGAATCCGTTTAGCATAATGAAATGACCAGCAATAGGCGGCAACTCTAAAAATCAAAAATCAATCATTTTTGTATGACTATAATGGCAAATTATAATTATTAATAGTAGACTCAAATAACTTAAAAAATTAATTGTATGTTCTTCATATCCATTACACTTTGATTAAAAATAGTGTGAGCAATAAATGAGCATAATGTCAAGATTATTATTTTACTATACTATTATTACCACTATTTTCGGGTAAACTAAAATAATAATATTAATTTTATATATAACAGAATGAATAACCAAAACTAATATAGTCACAAATGTGTGTAAACAATATATCTACATAATAAAAAAAACTATATAAGGAGAGGACTTACTCAGCAGCTTGAGACATTTTTTGATTTGACATAGCTCCATAAATCAAACTAGGTCTTGTGTAAAATATCAAATAAACAAATAAAGGTCCAGCATATTCTGCCATAAATACAGTGGACCAGCCAATTTGTGGACCTAAATCCTTAACATAAAGTTTTGATCCATTTTTTAATCCTGGAAAAGAATATTATTGACATAACATGTGATAAAATACACTTTGATTTTAATAATACAATTTACAATTATTTCATATCTAGTTTTAAATATAATAATAATTAAAGAGATTGTTGGAGATACATTGTTTAGTATTTCATTTAATATTATAACTTACCTAAATCTTTAACATTGTCACTATCCTTTAAACCTTTTCCTTTAGATTCAAGTCTAATAGACTGCCTGTCTGGATATAATGCAGATTTTATTTTATGAATACTTTTCTTGATATCACTAATCTGAGAAGCATTAGTAACCTAAAAATAATATAATAAATCTATATTATTTTCTAACTTTTTTAATTAATCAAATATTTTAAAATATTGTCTAATCATTCTTAAAGACCTGAGATAAATAAATAAACTTGATAATAACTACCTACTTTAAACGTATTATACAAATCTATAAGAAAAAACACTCTAAACAATTAAATGGTTCATTAATAATAGGATAAAATAATTAATAATTACTATTTTTAAATTGTTAAAGTTAATTATATATCTAATATAAATTTGAATAATTCAGTACACAAACAAATAAAATTAAAATGTATGTTAATTTAATATTGTAATTTTTAAATCATTCTTACATTTATTTTACCAAGATTCTTGCCAGTTGTAGTAACAATTTCAATCTAAAAAATAAAAAATAAAATACAGTTTCACATTATAATAACATTTCTTTTGATTCCGATCTAAAAATGTATTTTTCTTCTGTCTACACAATTTCAACTAGATTTGCATCAATAGATACATTGACATCAAAAGTGGTTTCTGGTAGAATTTTTGATCTATCTATATATTGGGCAGTTAATCAATATCAGAATTGATTATAAAAACATTTCCCAGTAAGTATCTATATGAATTTCTACTCTGAAATTCTTTGTACAATGTAGATAGGTACATTATGCACTAAAGTCTACATTTATTATGATTTTGCTATCAATAAATACAAATTTACACTTTAGTTCTCATGCAGTGTAAATTTTTTGTTACATAATAAAAATAACATTTAATGTTTAATACGCAAGGCTTATCATAAGCCAGACAACTGGCCATTTGCTCAACTAGCCCCTTTGCTCGTGGGATCAGTGGATCTTTTAGGTTTTAACTAATATTTTTTGAAATTTATATTATTTCATTATATTTATTGTCTTTTTGAAATATTACACTCATAAAATATTTCAAAACAAAAATATAATTATTTATGGAGATATATAATTCATAATGTGTAATTTTTATTTGTAGATAAAAGTATTATAGTATGTTAAATGAATAATTTAAAAAATATAAAAGTATAAAAAAACAACTTTTTCCACTGAATTCCTTATGTATGAATTTGATTTTATTAGAACGGCTATAACAATTTTTTATCACTAATTCAAAATGTGAAGCGATTCATTTTCCTAAATGTCCAAGGTTATGAGATAAATTAAATTAGATAAGTCAGTTGTTTGTTAATATAAAATATGGTTTTATTACAATATATCTATTGGCTGTTGTCTGTTTTTTTATTGTGTTATGAAAATAATAACAATTATACATTTTACATATTTTTAACATTAATAATATAACTGAACTTTTAAATAAAAACCAAATTTTTTGTACAAATATGGGATTTTTTTAAAAAATAGGTGGCCTACTTTCTTAAAAGGTTGAAGACCTCAACTTAGACACATATACACTAAGTAGATACATATTAGAAACATAAGTCAAAACTACCAAACTGAATAAATTACAAAACATTTATTCAAGGACATAGAATAAAACATTTGATTTGAATATTAATGAATAATAACACTTAATATAAAAGGTAATAAATTCTGTATCATAATTTCTGACTCTGAAAGTTATTTAAATTAGGTAATGTACAATAAATTAGTAGGCGTGTGAATTAAATTTTATAACAGACTATTTCATTAATAGGGTTGCCAACTTTAAAAATATTAATTACCAACCAATGTATTTAATAAAAGGCTAACATCAATTTAAGACAAATTATGAATAAATCTACAAAAAAAAAAAAAAAATTATAATATAATTCAGTACACATAAATTTTTAAATAATAACATTAGTTTCAAATAAATTCTAACAATCCTTTAATTATTATAAATTGATATGGGTTTTATTATTGAAAAACGTTATTTAACCCGAATATCATATAATAAGATCTGTAATATTATAAACCTACAAATATGAACACTATTTATACTGAATGATCTTTGGAATTTGTACACAATCTTGCAGCAACTAATAAGTCTATAACAATATTCAAAAATTCAGTACATACACAAATATGTAAGATTGTTTTGTATATCACTTTCAGTTTTATTTCCCTTCTATGTGTATCAATATTTTTTTTTTATGGCTAAATGATACATTTGAAATTATATTTTTATAGGCTGGTAGAGGCTGGTTATCATAAACCGGTCATTATTCATAATTTTAAACCACCCAGGCAAAAATAGACTATTTGGCAACCCTATTCATAAAAGTAATAAAAAATTATGCAAATTTTTTTTTACTAGGGTAGGGCATAATAATGACCGGATCAATGAGTATACAATTTTTAAAAGCCACACAAAAAAAAAAAACTTTTAGCTATGTCCTCAACTATAATTTGATACTTTTTTTTTACAATTTATATCAAAAAAATTAAATCTGCTTTTGTTAAAATATTACTTAATTAAGTATAAATAATCTTAACTCAGATCAACATATAACCTTCAATAAACTTTATGTTGAACAAGAAAATTATTAAAATATATATAATATTAATAACAGTTTTTTAAGAGTTCACAGTTTTGAAAATGTTGTTTAAAACATGTTTTTTGACAATCAACTACTATTCATAATTTGAGTGTGTTATTGTCTTCAGATTATTATTTAATGTCCATATTGATACAATATACAGTAAAGCATTAATTACGTGTTATGGGATTTATTAAACGTAATGGTTTTAATTTGAAAAATATTATATATTTAAAGGTTTTATAAAGCTCCCTTGTTAGATTGACATTAGAATTATTATCAGTTGTCAGGAATACTAAACAAATTAATTTAGTTGATAAATTCAATAAAATACAGAATTGTTTGTTTGAGATTGATGACTTTTAAATGAGGAAAGACTAATGTAAGTTTGGACGTTACTGTTGTAGAGCTTGGTCTTGAATCATTATCTTCTAGATGTTTATATAATGAAGTAGCTTTTATTTATAAGTTAGGTAATTTCTTTGCTATTAATTTGCCCGGAGTTCTTACAAAAAATTAATTTTAGAATATCAGTTCTTAATTCTAGGAACAATCCTTCCTTTCTGATTCCTCAGTATTCTAATTATTTTATTGCAAATAATTTGGAATACCGTCTTTTGAAACATTGTAATGGCATACTGAATTTTGACTATGGTCTTGACTCTCTAGCTAAACTAATTAAGCTTAACTATTTCTTAAATACCAATTGTATTTCTTATTAGTTATTTATTTTATTTTTGTACATTATTATATTTAAGCTTGTTATATTTCTTGTAATCATTACCTATTTTGGGTGTTAATTTAATACATTGACGGACATTACTGCTTAGCAGTAATATTTAAAATGTCATATTATGTCAATACTGCTGAACTGCAATGTTTTCAGTGGTATCAAATCATAGAAGACAGTAAACTGCTGCATTACAACAGTCCACACTGACAATTTACATAGATTTTGGATGTAGATATAGCACTACTAATATAATAGTAAAAATTATATTACAAGTGTCCGTCCGTCAATGTATTAAATAAATCAAAATAAATTATGTTTATAACTATTTTTTTTTCAATCAATTTCAAACTTTGAGTTGCTTTGGGTAAATTAAATATTTAAATATAACAAATAAAGTAACTAGTTATTTCGGTTTTGACTATTTATAGGTATGTTCATTTCTTTTATGAACTAAGTTTAGCGATTTTATTCGCATCAGTATTTTTTATTTTTTAACATTTTGAAGTTTTTTTAATCTAAAGAAATGAAAATGAGTTTACTCTAGGTTAAAATTAATTATAAATGACAGGGTTAAATTTACAAGGCTTTTTGTTTAACTTGGAAAGAATGGAGATGAAAATATTTAATTTAAATGTATATTAGGTAAACCAAACAACATAAGATTGTCCACGTCAAACTCAAAATTGTAATGCAGTTAAAGCATTAACTGTTATAATATCTATGGCTAAAGCTATACTTTAAATGAATTCATTTGTATTTAATTTTAACCCATGCAAATTATTACTATTATTAAATCATTTTTTAAAATGAATATTATGAAATTCATTTAAATGATGATTATCACAACACACAAACAAAGATAGAAGATGATTTTTTGAATTTTTAAAAGTTAAACCAGATTAAGATTCAAAAATGGTTCAATTATTATTCTAAAAAAATGTGTTATATGTAACACTTATGGCATAAGCTTTTTTAGTGTGGGTAGATAATTATTCTACAAAATATATAGGTTTATGGGTGAACATTTTTTGGAATAGCCTTGTAGTGAAAAATAGTCATTGGTGTTTTTTTTTCTCGTCATTCTCACCACAGCGACACAAGATATGTGCATGCAGCTTAATTTTTACTTTATTATTTTCATATTACCTAATACCTGTGTAATATTGCTTCAAAAATGTTTTTTTTAGAAGAAATCAGATATAAAGGTTTAAAATTCCCTAGAAATTTCATGAAGATTAAAACATTAAAAAGCCATTGAACAGTTTGTGTACCTAATGTAGACTATGGTAAGCTATTGGTAATATGTATTTATTTCAACTACAACAACTAAATGGTGCTACAATATAATTTATTTACAATATTCAATATTTTGCTACACATATAAACCGATAACCTTTTCAATATCTAAAATTCAAATTAACTTATATATTTGGTTGAAAACCATAGGTTTTTAATGTTTTTTTTTTTTTATATTGCAAATATTATAGGCATTTTATCTAAAAATATAGGTTTTATAATATATTTTATACAGATTTGGTATTCCAATATACTCATTAACAGTCAATAATATCAAATTTTGCAGATACTCATCACTAGTATAGTATTATACTTCTGAACAGTTGTAGGTAACATAATGTCAAACTACTATTCTTTTAAACATCTATAGATAAAAAATATATTATATATGTTAAATAAAAAATAAATTCATATTATGTAAAGTATAAATTATAAGTTCATTTTTATAGTTATAGTTAATACAACCAATCATTTCTTTTAATTTTTAAATATTTAACATATTAATCGCGATTATAAAAATTAATAAGTATTAAATGATTATATTTGTAAACTTGTTGTGAACAACAAGTTTTCAACGAAATTGTCAGAAACTTTCCAGGGTTAACATGTTGTGAAATACAAGGTAAACCAGACTACAAATGGGAGCCATTTTGTTAAAAATATGTAAATAAATTAGCACCAATACAAAATTATTGTAGGTATTCTGAAAATATATTTCAAGTATGAGCATAGAGAATACATTTTTATTATTGGAAAATATACAAATTGCTCAGCTCAAAAATTATTTATTTACCTAAACTAATCGATTATACGTATTTCGAAGTATGTTCGCATAATACTTTGGTAGCTCATAAAGTTAATGTAAAGTTCTACGTATGTACCTAACTCGCAAGTTAAGAATGAAAATCTCATTAAATATAAAATGTCTTTAATTACCCAAGTTATAAACAATCTATGCGTAGGCATTCTATGATCATAGTGTGAACCCAATGATAAAGAAAAAAAAATGAATGCCATTTTAATAAAAAATTAAAACAAAGCACAATATAAAAATATTGACATCTAATAGCTTACCTCCATTTTAAAAGTGCAGGATTTTGTTAACTATAACGATGTTGTAATGACGGTTGGGTGACTCGGACAACTCTTCATAGAGAAATCAAAACAAGTAACACTTAATATCAGTGACGAACTGACGACTGCGAGTTATGCGACTAGTGCGAGTGCAACTGCCCACTGTGGGATGACCGCAACGGGTAACTCAGGTCTTCGGATGGTATTAATGTATTACCAGTTACCACTGTCGTAGTATCCAGTTGTTTTAGTTGTTCACACTGAATAGTGAATAATGATAATTCGACGTCGACATGACAACACGGGGCATGGGTGCGCGGGCCGCGAATAGTGATTATTAGCTACTACTTATTACTATAAAGACTGTGAAAAAAAAATGAAGTAAAACAACCACATACAATTTTTAGATAACAAGGTTATCAGGAATTATTGTGGTACAAACTGCAAAGATGATGACAATTTTATATTTATATGTCTTTATTTTTTGTATATAGTGTATTTTGTAATGAAACCGGTTTCGTATAGGTCTATTGATATATTTTAAGAATTTACATAGAACTCGTTTTTTACAGGGCAGGTTATTTATACATTAATCTAGTTTATTATTATTATTAACTAGCAATTTTAATAAAGAACAAAACTAACACAGTTTTCAATTATAAAAAAAATAGTCATATTAATAAGTAAACAAACAGTGCTTCATTAGTTATTCTCCGTGTCGTATGTGTTGGATTTTTTTTCGTTTTACTCGAAAATTCGAATGCTAGTTAATGTTGGACTTTTAATCTAAAATAAATCCCAATTTGTTATCAAAACCACGTTGGGTAAACGCAAAAGGTTTTAATAGGTGATCAGAAAAAAGCCACGGAAAAAAAGACAATGTATATACTTCGTACTTTTTTTTTTTCCTAGACCAACCATTAATTTTCTTACCAGAAAAGTTACTTAAGTTAAAAATAAGTTTTTAGTAAAAAAAAAATAAAAAAATACACATTATACCATAGAGTAGTATAGAGAGGCCCTAGTTTATACTGTACGTGTTAAGAAAGTGTAGCCGACCAGTTTCGAAACTACTCACTTAACGAAACTATTAGCCGCAAGATAGCGATTTCTAATTTCAAATTTATGCTTTGTACGTTATTTATTTAATAAATTTTATTATCAACAACGTTGTTATGTGTAATATATATACTATTTAATATTTAAATATATTCTCTATATATACCTATATAATTTATATTTAAATGTTCTCTAATATTCAAAATATGCTCAAATATTCAAAATAAATTTTCTTCCACAAACTCTGTAAGGGATAAATCGTTCAGATTTTGTATCCTCGATGCGCTGCATAAAGACAATAAATATATATAAAAACCTGAAAATCCGCACTCAAATGATCATATATTTTGTTAATTATATATTATATACATCTATGGTTGCACGAAGGCAAGGTTTATAGATTATACCATAGACCTATAAACATATTATCAGCCTTATGGATAATACTATTATCTATAAGCCTTATTATACCTTATTATCTATAAACCTCGGCTCGACTAATGCATCCCACAATTCAAGGTATCTTAAATCATGATCTCGCAGATGGTTGAGCAGTGCGGCAATGTGAATGCTTGTTTTTGATAGTGTTCTATGGTGTTTTCAATTACACTGTTTAATCACGTTTTAATCGTTTCATGAACACATGATAAATTTATTTTTTTCATTCCAAGTTATGTTGTTTGTTCTTCCATGATCTTCTGGTGGATTCTAGAATATTCTACGACAGGTTTTGATACGCTGAGTTTTTGTGTGTGCGTGCGCGTGCGCGCCCGTGCACTAATATAGTACTACTTACTAGTACCATACTACTATTAAACGATTGTACTGTTTGTCTGTTTGTGTAGTGTACATTTGATGAAATAATTACTACTAATAAATATTACTAAACGTATTACATTAGAGCACATACAAGTTACAACGGATAATTTTTAGGTATTTATGGTTAAAAGTATTTTGTCTGTGAATAAAGACTTGAAATAATTTATTATTATAAATCTAGGTAAGTAATTAATATTTTTCTCGGTATTTTAAATTTTTAACTTCCCTTACACATACTATCTTCCTTAATTATACTCGTAACTCATACGTTTTAATTTTAAATATCAATTGGGTATTCATTTTTTTTTTCTGAATTCTCAAAGTTTATAGTTGTTTTGAATAGTAATCGTAAGTTTTTAATTATATCACTGGTATGTATCATGTACGCCTACATACTTATGATTATTTTGACCTATTACTGTTAATCTCATTCTCTGTGTGATAGCTTGTAAGTACTTATATGGTATTGTTTCGCGGGAGTAATCAATTCAATATATTCCTTCATCTATAGAGAATTTAAAGTTGTATCTGATGTATGTATTACTTCTTATAGATATGAGAATCCTTACACGAACTCATAAATAATACACCATTGTGAAACTGTGAATGATTAAATTCCTGCAGAGAATGATTGGATTTAATTTATATTATTTCCTATTTTAAGTTAGTACTTTTACTTAGTCTTACTAAAGTATTTTTTAACTTTTTTTTATACTTAATTTAATCATTTGATATTGGTTTTAATGTTATTTTATTTAAACCAGAATGTGTTATTGTATATACATTTCTACAATTATACAATTTTAATGAATTGCATTTCAACTATAGAAAGAGTATTAATAATCTTTTTAACTTAGCAGTAATTGTAATCATAAGTTTATGATTTTTTTTAGTTTTTTCACAATTGAATTTAATATTTATAACTATTTATCTATTTTGTTTATTAAAAATTAGGTACCTAATTATTTTTTTTTGTAGGATTTTAATGTTTTTATATATAATGTATATTATGTGGAATCATATAATTAAATTGATTCTCAACTCAAATGATTCAATTTTTAAATTTTAATATAACAAAATTTGCAAAAACATCCTCCTAGTCATTTTTTTTAAATAAGATAATTATAAATTTGTTAATGTATATCATAATAAACACCTGTAAGTATGCATGAATTATTTATAAAAATGTAATTTCTAGTAAGTTATTATAAAATTATTGTTATTCAAATTTTTATATTGAAATAAAAAAGTTAAATATTTAAGATATTTAATGATTTATTTTACTAAATAAATATCTTTAAAATATGTCATTTAATCAATTCAATCTGTTTTTGAAAAATCTTATCTACTTATTTAATATTTTAAGGTGGTGATTTATGTTTTTTGAAATTTTCTCCAATCTTAAACAATTTAAAAAAAATGTATAGGTATTTCAATTAACTCCTTAATGATTACACTTTTCTAGTAATCTATTGTCTAATAGTAATTTTAGGGGATGGTTTGTGGCTTGTAGACAAATATAACATTTCGACTGGAAAGCCAGATGAAATTGTAGAAATTGGTGTTTGATGAATTTCAAACTATTATTTTTTTTGTCACATACTAGGGCAAATTGGAATTATTATTTTAAATTTTAATTCTATGTATCGTTTATAAAAAGCATAATGCTGTAAAATAATGACATTATTTCCAATAATATATTCTACTAATGAAGCTCAAAGAAATTATAATCAGTCTTGAAAATTGAAATCCATTAAATACAATTTCTACAGTTTCATCTCACTTTTAGGTCTAAATGAACTGAATATATACTTCTTTCAATTCGCTTACCATAATATTTATTAATATTATAACGGTATGTATGTTTAGAAAACATATTTACTTTTAATTTAAATAGGTTCATAAATTATCAATTTTTCATACTGAATACAACAATAGGTATATATTAAAATTATTGGCATCTTGATGAATAAGGGGAGATCTGTTTTTATGAAATTGTATACAAAACATTCTATTGTGTACAAACCATAAATCATTGTAACAACTGTAGACTTTTAATATTGATTAACTTTCAAGTTTTATGAATATATATATTTCGATAAAAATTCATTTTATTGTTAAGTGTGTATATACAGTGAAACCTTTACTTTTAAACATCCAAATAATCCTTTATATAATTAAAGACAATTTTAATTTTGATCTTACTTCAATATTGTAACCTCAATCTCATATAAATAAGTAAAGTCTCAATGTTGAGCTTTATTCAAACTACTTGTTTAATAGTTGCTTAAGTTTAAAATAATTTTGGTATTATTATTTAGATAACAATTATTAATTTTTATTTATAGTTTATGATGGGAAAAGACTATTACCAAATCCTAGGTGTATCGAAGGGAGCAGCAGATGATGAAATTAAAAAGGCTTATCGAAAATTGGCACTTAAATACCATCCAGATAAAAACAAAACTGCGGGAGCTGAAGAAAAATTCAAAGAGGTAGCAGAGGCCTATGAAGTATTGAGTGATAAGAAAAAACGAGATATATATGATAAATATGGAGAAGATGGACTTAAAGGGGGGGTAGGCCAAGGAAATAGTACTAACAATTATTCTTATACTTTCCATGGTGATCCAAGAGCTACATTTGCTCAATTCTTTGGTTCATCTAATCCATTTGGCAATATGTTTGGTAATAGTGGTGGTTCAATGTTTGATGATGAAATGGACTTTGATGATGGTTTTATTAGAATGTCACATGGGCCACCTGGCATGGGTGCTTTCAGATCACAGTCGTTCAATGTTCATGGTTCACCAATGGGACGAACTAAAGAAAAAGTTCAAGATGCAGCTATTGAGCATGATTTATATGTTTCATTAGAGGATATAATGAGAGGGTGTACAAAAAAAATGAAAATATCGAGACGGGTGCTACAAGCAGATGGAACTTCTAGGAAAGAAGACAAAGTATTAACAATTAATGTTAAACCTGGTTGGAAAGCTGGTACTAAAATAACATTTCAAAAAGAAGGAGATCAAGGAATGAATAAAATACCCGCAGACATAGTTTTTATAATAAGGGATAAGCCTCATCCAGTTTTCAAACGCGAAGGAAATGATATAAGATACACTACTTCAATATCTCTTAAACAAGTAAGTAATATTAATTGAATGAATAAGATTTCATTCATTTATTTTAAAATGATTAATTAATATACAATGTACTTGTGTAATTTACAGGCATTATGTGGTACAGAAATTGTAGTTCCTACCTTAACAGACAAAAAAATTCCCCTCAATCTTAAATCAGAAGTTATAAAACCTACAACGGTAAAGCGATTACAAGGTCATGGTCTTCCATACCCTAAAGAGCCATCACGGCGAGGGGATTTATTAGTATCATTTGATATTAAATTTCCCGAAGTACTTTCACCTGCTCTTAAAGACATATTATACGACACACTACCATGAGCAGATTAAAATGGCTCAAAGTTATAATCGGCCTTAATTATTGGCCTGTGTATTTTGTATAATGAACATTTTTTTACACACCCCATGTATAAATATATATATATATATATATTTATATATTTATAAAATATAATATATTATGTTATTATTTAATATATTATATAAAATATGTCATATGTTTCTTCTTAATCATTATTTTTTCTAACATCTCCTTTGATTGGAGGTAATTATTTCTGAAAATTATAATTTAGGTTGATAAAATTATGTTACATTATTGTACAAAGGTTTAACATAATATTTTGTTAATAAATTGAACAACTTTGTGGTTTATTTAAATGAGATTATTTTTATTGAAATATTCCATTTTGTCATTTAATATCTGAGCCAAAACTTGTAGATCTATTTATACACAAACTGTATATTTTATTAATAGATATTCTTATATAAAGATTTTAAAAAAATATTGGCTCCCATGCCTAACTGCTCTACTGGAAAACTAGTGAAGTGATTATGTGTGATCATTATTGTACACTATTGTATGTTTATTAACAATATATACAAATTGAGACTTAACTTAAATTTAATTATATGAATATTGTTATAGTTACCTATAAATATTTTGTCATGCTGTTAAAAGTTAGGGTTATTTTATTAGAATATGAACTTATGGTACTAATAATAACCAATATTTTTTTCCTAAAATTAATATGGTTTTGAATTATACTTTTACAAATGTATATTTATAGTTATAGTAGTGTTGACTGTTTTTAAAAGGCATTTATTTGCAAAGTTAAGGTTGGAAAAGTTTCTCTATTATATTTTTCAAGATATCTTAATTTTAAAATAAATATATTTTTATAATTAGCCTACCATTAAAAATATAATTGAAATATTTATTAAATAAAATTGTTTTTATTATAAAAATTAATAATAAGCTGTTTTATTTAAAGAGGTGTTAAAAAAAGGCATGTATACTTCCTACGTGGGTGCAGCCACTTTTGTGGTGGTTGGGAATGTAGGATACAGACAGGAATTTAATGTATATCTGTAAGCAGCAATAAACCTAACAAAAAAAAAAAAAAGCGATTCTGAGGGGAGGGAGTTCAGTTGATGATAGTATTGCTTTGTCAACAATATACAGGTTGATTTTTTTTATCATAAACCAGCAATATTTTTGGATAATTTTAAGTGAATTTGATTTTGTTTTTTTTTTCTAATTATTATGGAATCAGTTATTTTTTTTAATTTTCTTAAACATAATTCGGACTAAAAAAATATTCTCTATTCAAATCTGTGCTAAAAAGGATGAAAATCAAAAGTATAAAATCTTCTATGAAAAAAGCTGATTCGTGTTAAAATCATATATTTTATATTAGGGCAAAACAATTACATATGGCATTTAACATTTCCTTTAATATTGTACCTATATTCCAGATCGCAATATATTGTGAAAATTAAAAAATGACTTCCATAAGATACTTACCCAATCAAATACTCATTCAGAAAAATGCTACACTTGTAAATCAGATCAATATTTTTGATAGAAAAATTGTTCACAAAGAAAAATAATTATAATCATCGTAAACCCATAAGCTTCTTTGTGCTAATCAGAATCTGAAATAGTTACAGGTTATTTAGTTTACAAATTATTAGCTTAGAGGAACTAGTGGCAACTAGGGATTTTAAATTTAAACTAATGACAATATTTTTTCCTTATAGTATTCGTAATTTTAGTAACACTTGCAGAGGAAATATATATTCTATTTATTTTGGATACATTATCATTAGCTATTTCAAGTTGTAAATTAACACATAACCAATTAATTAATTATTTATTGCACAATTGCAACTTTTTAATTGATTTGTATATATAAACAGTTATGCTAGATTTAAAAAGTGTCAAATGTGATTAAATTAAAACAACACTATTGTAACTTTAGTTTGGTTTGACTTGGCATAACAGTTTAAGTGCATTCATGTTAGTTAATACTAATGAAGTAGTCTGAATAATTATTAAATACAAAATTAAAACGTGTTCATATCACAATGACAAGACCATAGATACAAAAACCAAAATTATTTAGATTATTTCTGTTGTTTTAGAATGTTACTACTTTCTGAATATGATAAACTTTCGTACCAAAAATCTTTTTATCATCAAAATTTCAGCTGAAGTTGTCTATATAAATCTTAAATTTTTAAATAATATGGAAAACTGAGAAAATCGCAAAATAACAATTTATTATTTTTCAATTAAGTTTTGTTTTAATTTTCTTAGAAATAATTCTGACTGAAAAATATAAGTCCATATTTTCTTATAAAAAAGTATTAAAAATCCATAATCAAGATAAATCTTTTGGCTCTATAAAAATAAAATGAGATTTTAAAAAGTTTTGATTTAGATTTCTTAAGGTTGGCTTAGAATTGTTTTTATGGCATATAATTCGACAAAAATATTATATTTATTTATATATTATACTATCTTTTACCTTCTATTTCTTAAACACATTTTCATCATTAAAAATTGTATTTAAATCTGTTATGATTAACTGATTACAATTTGAATATATACCAGAAGTTACATTGTAACCGAGTTTTGGTTAAATCTGTTATAAACTTCAAAAAACGTGCAACTTATGAGAGAGAATATATAAGTTTCAATGTAATATTTATTATTGTATAAAAATATTATCCAGTAGGTAGTATTATTTGGACATTTTTTTTTTTACAAATTTTCATAGTGAAGAAAAAACCTACTTTAAATTAAGTATATATAATTAATATTTATTATTTAAGTTTATGCAAGTAATACAAATTTTACTCTAGGGTAGAAGAAAATTCTATATTGTTATATATGACAGTTTTCTTTATTTAATTGTTAAATCAAAATAAATTATCTCATTTCTATTGATATTTTTGGAATCTATCAGTTATATAAATTTTTGATGGATTTAGATTTAATGTTAATATTTAAGCCCTCTAGTCTACACAAGGAAATATTTATTAGAAACTAATTACTGACAAGTCACTGAACAATCCACTGTCAGTCAGAACCTAAGTTATTCAATAGAATATAACAGACAGCGCTGGTGATTCAACTGATGAGTTACTTCTAATTTGATAAGTTATTAAAATCACGAACCAGTTTAGTTTCTAATGAATAGCTCGGAGTGTAGTCAGCCTTAGAAAAAATAACACGCCATGACTACTCTCCGAATACACTAAATTTAAACTATAACAGAGTTGCTACATTATGTGTTAAGATTTCAAAATTATTCGGTCTTCTATGAGATAATATATATTAATGCAGGATAATTTTTTAATTATGATTTTTTTTTTTAAGAGTATTTGATTCTTTATTCAGATCTATGTTTAAAAATGGGAGTTCATATTTGAAAAACAAATGTATACATTTGTTTAAGGATTATTTCAACTTAAATAATTTTATAATACAAGCAAATAAAAGTATATAAAATAGTACTATCAAGTACATACCTTTTAAAAAGTTTTTTCTATATATTATACTATCTTATTATATTGACTATAATGATCCCTTTCTCATTTAGCTCTAGTCTATATCGGTATACATACTACATGTATTCATTTAAATCTGTATGGTAGAACAAAAAAAATCTTCATACACAATTTATTAAGTGTTGGTACACTATATTTATATACTATTAAATACACCTATAACGATTTTATACTATAAATAAATTTTAGTTAGTGTATCAACTAAAACATCTTTTCTGTAAATTAAATTGCTATTCTTAATTGATATTTATAAATAAATAATTTGTATAATGATCATATTATAAGCATATTACAAAGAAATTTTAATTAACCAATAATAAAAAAGTAATGGACAAGTTACAGAGAATGATTGTTTGGGTCACATGTTATATTTAAACAGAAGCTGTCCCAATGTAAAACCACATTACTCAATTATGTTTTCTTCAGATTAAATAAAAAATAAAGATAATTATGGACAGAGGAAATAAGGTATTTTAAACGGATGTTTAAAAAGCCTTAAATAAAAACAACATGTCAATATTAAAGAATAAAATTACTTTATTAGACCAGTGCATATATACCTGAAAGGAGAAAAATAAAATAAAATACTAGTTCAAAAATTGAAACCAAACACAAGACAGTTAATTAACTTAGGAATTATTTATTTAATATTTGATAGTGTGATTATTTTATTGAGGTTGTCTCCTCAATAGCAAATATGCCACCCAAAAGCAGTTTAAGTAGATCGTAATTGAAGACTACTTTTAACGAGTGTTTTTAAATTAAATAAAATTTTAATTTTTTATTTTTCTGTCAAGTTTTAATGGACAATTCAAATATATTTGTTTGTTAAAATAATTAAAAAACACTATAAAGAATGTTAGTTGGTCATCAAACACTATATTATACTTAATTTTGACTAGCTGTAACCATTACACATAATATACAGGTTCTCTTATTGATGAACACTCATTACACTCCACTAAGACTTTTTCAGAACAAATTTTTATTGAAAATTTAAGAAACATTAGCTTCAAAATTTACATTAATATTAATATTTGCTCCAATTATTTTCTATTGATTATCAAATAATAACTTATATTAAAAACGCCAAAAATATATCAGAGTATTGTTTAAATATATTGCAGTGTTCACATTTGTAGATTCCTGTGAACCCGTTTATAAGATAGTCCACTACTAAGTTTTGAGCAAGGGTACGTAAGGATTGACTAATGTGGAATATTCTATGAACAGGTTGATGAAAATCAATAATAAACTTTATGTAAACCAATACTTTTATCTATTTATGACACTTTTAATAGAGATTAACATTTGCAAATCCAAAGCCAGTAATCGCTCATCCTTAAAAATAATGTAAAATTTAAAACTCTGTTTCATAAGTATCAAAAAATTTGATAAGTCATACTTAACGAAATAATGAGTGTTCAACAATAAAAAAATAGCGGTGTATACATAATTTAAATATGTATTACTTTGATAATTATATAATTTCCGAGTTTAATTGATTGTAAATAAGATCAATTTTTCATCATTCTTTATTTTTATAAGTGCTTAAGAGAAACTGCTGAGGGCGGTGGATGGGATGCTAACCCCGACCAAATAAACCACTGAACCCAAATCCTAATATTTAAATATAAATCTTAGGAATTGAGTATCAGTGGCTAAAATACTCACTAATTTTATTCTTCGGGAATAACCACGGTACCATCGTTTATTGCTTCAATGATATCATGTGGATTCTTGTTGTCAACCGTACAACCAACACTCTAAAAATATATTAAAAATTCAAAAAGTGAACACTTAAATAACCACAAACAAAAATATTACTTGAGAGGATCCTAAAATTTCCTTTACGGTTCCAGCCAATGTTCTGGCCATAGATCTTGGTCTCATAGTTCTACTAATGTTAATGATTTCATCCATAGTAACATTTCCATTGTGTTTAACTATTAAAAAAAATATTAAAAATGTTAAATTAATGTTGCAAAATGAATACTTCATGTACATAATTCAATTCAGAAATAATAATGTTTGAGTCCGCAAAACCAGACAATGACCTTAAGTAGTTCTGGGTGAAGCAACTCGTAATTAACGTTTAATGTACGACAAATAGTTAAAATCATGTTAAATAGCAATAATTAGCATGAGGAATAATAGTCGATGAATTTTAATTGTTATGTTAACACTATTAATTTAAAACAAATTGTATACAATGGCATTGTTAAGCATTTTTATTTTTATCAGCCCAATTACAACAATCACTATTAAATAAAATTTCTGCAAGGAGAAACAATTTATATTATTTAATTTGATTTTCAAATTCATAAGACCGTAGTTTGGCAATGTAGAATTGAGAAACCTGATGACTCAACCTGATCAACCTTAGATCATATACTATAGTAGTTATAGATGTGTTCAATTTTGTATAGAGTATACTCTATGTCCAATATAATCACTTACTATCTTAATTTTTGGTAACAAACAATCAACGTAGTCTGGTGCACGAAAAATGATTGCTGTTTGTTATGTGCCAAACAGCAGTTTTTTAAAGTGGTTATCTGACGGAAGTCATCGCTCATTATTCGTGTATGTGAACATGACACGTAACAGCAGTGTGACAGTAGAATATTGGGAACCAAAAACACGGAGTATGGACAACAGGTCACGATGGCCAACACTCATTTTTTGTGTCTGCAATTATAGTATAGTATATACATGCTGCACTGTGGCTCCAGTGCGATTGATCATTTTTAATTGGTTAAATCCCTGTTCACTACAAGTTTCCGCATGCCCACTAGAATATAATGTAAAACCACAACAGTAAGTGGTGGTTATTTTAGATATAACTAGTGGCTAACATACACATTCATAGTATATAATCCAAGAGTTAAACAAAATAAGAACGAAACTGTGTCAGCAAAAATAAATACACATTTTGATAATCAGTTTGCTGAACCGAACTTTAAAACTATATGCACTGTCTGCAGTAACCCATTGGTAAAATATTGTACACTCAACAAATTGTGATATGGCAATATATTGTAACTGTATTGTAAACAGATGATGGCCCTATCAGTGTACTAATAATAGCACATTGTCCAAATAAAATTTCATAATGTGTGGATCTCTAAAGGTACAGTTTTCTAGGGGCAACCAGTCTTTGCAACCGTCATGGCCACATTAATAATACGTTAAACCTATTGATTAGTTACCTACATGCTACCACGAAAAAAATTCATTGTTGCACCGGTGACAGTACCAGTCCAAAAGCAGTATATCTAGAAATTAGTGTGTGACAATACAAAATTTTTATCGGCAGAGGATGAGCTCCTCATTGAAGAAATTAGAAAAATAGAGCTATCTATACTATGATCTTGCTTAATATAGATAAATATATAAATATAGAGACAATATTCATAAACTTTCTATTTTTGTTCCTTATCATTTATATTAATAATTTTTTTTCGTCCTCTTCTTTCTTGGATAAAACAATTGTATCATTATTTGTAACACTCATATCTTAATCTAACTAAAACCACAAAAATACCAACGTATTGCACAGATACTAGAGAATACAGCTATAATTTATCAATGTTGCATTTAGGAAACCGGTCAGACGGCTGTCCACCTCACATTGTCATTTCTAGGAATTTTTCTATAAATAACAATACTTAATTCATACTTGAATGATGAAATGACAATAGTCAGTTCCAATAATGTATAATAATAAACTTTTATAAATAATTATATTCATACAAATATTTCACATTTAAGTTTGCTGAGTTATGTAACAGTTCTGTATTTGTACAGAAAACAAAGCAGAATATTCAAATTTTGAATATAATGTATTAGACATTTACCTATATATCTATTATATCTATATTAGGAAATGTGACTGAATAATTTAATGTGACAATCGCTAAATCAGTGGTAAGTGGTAGGCAACATGGTGGAATGCAGAAAGCAGAGTGGTAGTATTTAGGAAAATTAATTAATACACATTTGTTGTACAAAAACAATGCACCTAATACTATTTTACTGTCTTATACTATAATCAATTAGAAACAAATCTAAAGAAATTAAGAATAGTTCAATTTTTGGTTATAAGTAGCACAAGACAGATCCACAATACATGTAGTATGTAAAAAAGTCTTAAAAACCTCCGATCTAAATGATTCTTAATATTTTTTTTAACAAAATTTGAAAGAATGTGCCACACTCATAAGACACTGATAACCTGCTAATAAGTATTAACAGTAAACTTCAGTAATTTTACATTATAAAGATAATGTACGAGTCCGCAAAACCAGACAATGACACTAAGTAGTTCTGGGTGAAGCAACTAGTATGTTAATAGATTAATATACGACACATTTGTTAAAATCATGACTGGCATAACTAGCATGAGGAACAATAGTCGAAGAATTGCGGGTATAGAGCTATAAAGCTATAAAAAAAATTTAAAGTAAATCATACCATTTTTAACCTTCTTCCTATCACGGGGTGGTTCTTTAAGAGCTTTGATTACCAATGATGATGCAGAAGGCACAACAGAAATTGTTGCTACTCTGTTTTGGATGGTCAATTTAACAGTAATTTTTAAACCTTTCCATTCTGATGTAGCTTTAGCAATATCATCACCAACTTTCTTAGGAGACTAAAGCAAAAAAAAAAAACATGTTAAAACCAATTGAGAATTTCGGTGCATTCAATAGATAAGTTATGAGATTTGTGTTACCTGTTCTATCATAAGACAATTAAAAACAATAAATTTAAATATTGATACTCACCAAACCCAAAGGACCGATCTTAGGAGCAAGAGAAGATGTAGCACCAACTTCTCCTCCGACACATCTCATGTAAACTAAAAAAAAATAGGTAGGTATATAACACTACATAACTATATAACACTTATACCTTAAATAATTGTATATAATTATTCAATAAAATGCATTGAAAAAATTACATAAATAATGAAATCGATGATAAATAAGGATTTATTTTAATTTATACTAGAAATAATAATAATTTATTGCCATGTGCTTTTCAAACGTTTATTTAATGCATATTACCTTCTTTTACTTCACTTGGATCGAATTTTGGTGGCATTTTTAATTAAATGCAGGTAATAGATCCTAAAAATAAAGCATTCGATTAGAAAAACAAAAAACAATTAATCAAATAAAATAAAGACAAACCGAAAATGAAAGACCGAAAACACGAAATCCAAAAAGTCTAACACAGATAAAGTGATGGTCAATGGATAGATTCAGTATTCTTATGTACTAGTACATTGGTAAACGGTGAATGGGAAAGAAAATGTGGAATATTCCATTGCTGCCACAACATATAACCTCACATTTTATTTGGATCAAAGAGATTAAACATATTAAATGACTCAGTGATATTTGGACATGGGCGCATGTAAAATAAAAATACAGTTTGACCACAGTATAAATGCCATGCAGAAAAGTAAAACCACAGTCAACAGCAAAAGTAATAATTATGAGTAAATATTATATATTATAGTTTAACAAATATACATCCCTATTTACAATAATTAATAGTCTCAGACTCCTCTGCATCTTTGTATTCTGGATTCTTGAAAAATATTTTAAAAGTACAAGCTTAAAAAAGTAGTCATGGATTGTTTGTAAGTTTTATTACGGTTTTTTTTTCTAATATTTATATAGAATAAAATAAAATATCATTATTACCTATGTACTCTAAAGTATCAAGAGTTCTGATTTATATAAGTTATTTAAAATTTTCAAGGTATAGTTTTCAATTTATGTTCAACTCGAACTAATTATTAATGCTTAAATTGTACCTATTCGATTTTTTTTTCTTGAATTTTTTGAAGTAAAAAAAAATAATTTGGGTATTCCAAAATCTACAGTTAACATGATTTTTATTTTCAAATTTCTTATACATTAATCTGCATATAATATTAGTATTCGTATTTCGTATAATCGGTTTCCTACACATATTATTGTAGTTTGTAGATCATAATATATTATTAAATTATTCGAAATGTAATGTAATTAAATATTCAATTTTATTTATGGTACCAAAATAAACAAAACAATAGAGATTCTATTCGTGCTGGTAAATAGAAAATATTGGTTATTGTAATATTTTCTGTTTGCTGTTATTATATTGGTCACGCTGTTGAATGACGCTTGGCTTATCAGTTCCTTAAACTTTGCGGCCTGCGTGAAAAACAAGCCATTTTCTGTTTTGTTGTATTTTGTATGTATTATTATGTATTGTTGGTGTATTTGTCTCTTATTTTTTTCTTGCGTTTATGTTAACAATTGTGACTAATTTTTCACGATTGAAAATCGTGTACTTAGTGAGTTTTTCCAATTTTATTTATTCAAGTGTGAAAGTTAATTTTCTAAACTTAAACGTCCATAACTCACTGACTGGAAATTAACTATTAAGTGTTTTCTGGCGACAGCGTTTTGTGGTCTGTAAAAATAAATAAATTACGGATTTTTAATTTTATCGAATTAGTTTTATTAATATTTGTACTTGCATGATAGATGCATTAGGTGTATTTGAAATTTATCATTTATATTTCTTATCATTTCTAAAAAATAATAATTGGTACCTAACTGAAATTACAGAGTTTGTAATGGATGCATAATTTTGTCTTCAATACAACAGGTAACATACTATGTGAGCATATAATTTTTCAAGCATTGTATGGTCCAAAATATTTAGTTTTTCCGATGCTTATGTACCATTGGTAATTTATTCTGAATTATTATATATACATTATTCTGGATTAGAAATTGACCTTTTAATGACTGATTTGAGAGTGACTCATTGTTTTAATATTGTCTAAGATTCTTATAGTTCCATAGTTGGTTAATAATAATGTTTTATGTTCATAATCTAAATACAAGTTTTAATAGCCCTATCATTTAATTTGAACAATCATTTGTTCTTATTGGTATCAAAAAGTTTTTATAATTTTAGTTGCTGTTTTAAACATAAAATAGTGAATTTATTTTTGTTGGTTTCTAGAAAAAGTTTGAAACTTTAACATAATGGGGAAAAAGACTCAAAAAATGAAGAGTATTACAAAAAGCAAGACTAAGTCTCACAAGCAAAAGGTAAAAGCTCACAAAAAAAACAAGAACATCTCCAAAACCAAACATCGACCAAAACTCCGTTCAGAAAGTCAAGACAAATTTCAAAAACCAAAGGCACCTTTGAATGAATATTTGGCTATCAGATCAAATTACAATGCTATTCAATTCATATTTGAGTGTGGTATGTTTCAAAATTGTACTTGTATAATTTCATATTGTTTATTCAAAGTTATATTCATATTTTATTTTTAGGTATTAAACTTGGTCTAAAACATATAACTATATGCTCGGCAGCAGTTTACTTCCATAGGTTTTATAAACATGTTGACGAAAACTCATATGACAAATATGTAAGTATTTATTTATTATTTCATATTCAGTAAGCACTTAAACTGATTACAATACACCCTAATTATAACTTCAGTAAAGGTTACTTATTTAAATTATATTTTACTCTTTGTTATACATTTTTAATACTCTATAGGTATTTTATAAATCTTAGATTAGATATTTTAAAATCAAGCAATATTTTTTTTATGTTATCGTTAGAAATGTTATGAACTGTTTTTGAACCGAACCAAATACACAATAGTTTGGTATGAAATTCATTTTATATAGATTCAGTGTGATTATCAATACAATATTCTCTGGTGAATAGGACTGGCTTGTTATGAAAAAGAAAATTCCTATTTCTTTTGCATTTGTGTGTGTCGCACTATTATATTATTATATATTTTTTTAATTTCAATACAATTACTACCATTAAACCACAGGATGGCCATCTTTTTAATTTTAAGTGTTTGAATTTGATATAATATTTTCGAAGTTCGGTTTGGTGTCGTTAATTTTTAATAAATGTTTGGTTCGATCTTAAAAATCAGGGTTTGTATCAATACTAGTTATTATTTATTAGTGCTTTCTTCTTAAAGCCTTTTATTTCTTGATATTTTTAAACATTTTTCTGAAATATTAACATTTTATCTACCTACATGGATTAAAACACTACTAACATTACTAGGTATAGATATAGTTATTTATGGGGATGAAATCGGGGAGATAAATTTCTTCCATTGACATTTTTATTTCCATGAATACTTATTTTTTAAATTCAAATTTCTTTATTAATTAGTTAGAAAAATCAAAAATGTGGTGGCATCATGTTAATAAATCAAAAAAAATCTTAAACAATAGGTATATTTCTTTGTTTAAAACAGAACTTATCTGAATCACTTTTATATAAAAGGTTCTTCTTCTCCTTATTCTTAAAATGTATAAATATATTAATAATAATAACTTATTAAATATTTCAATGATTATTGATTTATTGAATTATAAATTACATACAAAAAGTATAGTTATATATTAAAACATTGGATTTTTTTGTTTTAATCTAAGTACTTACATATTATACGATACATATGAAATAATATTTCAAAATTCAATATCTCCCTCCTTTGTAAAATCCTAAATACTGTATAGACATGCATTTTAAGAAAATGTGATAGCCACATGGGTTGTCTTGTTTCTAACACTGTCTTACAAACATATGAAATAGCAAACTTGCGTATAGTAGGGACAACTATGTGTTTTTCCTTTTAATATTAAAGGGAATTGACCTATTATCAAATTTAAAAGATAATACTATTATCAGTGAACCTATGTTTTAGTTTTGTTTTATATTTCAATTTCTAAGTTAGATTAGTGTGAAATATCACAATTTATACAATTTTAGTGTAATAATACACAAACAGTACAATGTTTTTCTGTTGAAAGCAAATTAACTATTTTGTATGTTTGTAAGATAAGGACATGTTTTATGTACTATAAATTTCTATTATTTGCTAATAATATTTCAACAGCAGATATCTATTAGACAAATGTGTTCGAGGGAGATAAGTCTAATATGTAATTTTTTTTGGAGTTATGGTTTTAATATTTGGATATTTTTTTTTTTTTTGGATACACTGTGTTATAAATAGTTATTTATATTTTACATTTTAGTAATGCAATGTTCTATAATTATATAGATTTGTTAGGTTTGCAAAAACGATTGATTAGTGCAAGGCATTAATATTTTATTAATACAAAAAACCTTAAAAATAAATATGGTGATATAATATATACCATATAATTTATATAATAAGTGTTTTTATGATATTTACCAACTATTTCGTAATAGGTTTAATTTAATAAATCATTAATAGATAATAAATAAATTATTAATCAATATGTGGATTAAATTTTGTTCGTGATACTTATTTAGTTTTATTAATTTTGAAATGATATTGTTGAAATAAAATCATGATTTATCTTATCAGCTGTCATTTATTAATTTCTAAATATTAACTTGAGGTCTTATTGTTATGGTTTAATTTTTTTTTACATAATGTATGTTATTTAATAATATGATAAATACTAATATATTATTTACAATTTTTATAATATACATAATTTTACAGCTTGTTAAAATTGTAGTTGTACAACATATATATTACATAAAATGATGAGTCAATGAAAAATGGTTGTCTTGGAAACAATTAGTACACAACATAATTTAACGGCTATGACAAATACCTATATTATTTATGTATTCAATATAGCACCAAATATCATAGAACTGCACTTTATTAATAATGAGGTGACTACAATTGATTAGTTCTTTATAATTTGTACAATAATAATACACTTATTAAACATAAATATTATGTTAAGCGGTTTTAATGTATTTTAAGTAGGCTAAAAAAACATGTCCCTTAATACCAAATTTAAACTAATTGAATTTCTTAAAGAAGTTAATTGTACATGATAACAATTTATAAAATAAAAAAACCCATGAATCTTGATAATGCTATTAATATAGTATATATAATATATTAATTTGGGATGAATTTTTAATTTGTAAATTAAGTATTTTGAATACATAAAGAAATTGAGGGAGTGGAGTGTGTGCACTTTATGTCTCACACATTCAAAATAATTTCTTTTCTAGCATCTTTAAAAAAAGTTATGAATTTATCTAATACACATATATTGTGTCCTAAAATGGTAGCTTGATATTAATTTATTAAATTGTAATATTATTGTTATATTTATAACAAAGAAAAAGATATATCTATATTCTTAATATATAATGCTCATTATTATCCTATGCAATATTATTCATAATGCTTAAGCTATATTTTACAAGTTCAGTGTAATATCAAATATAATTTATATTTGTCAGTGTAAATTATATTTTTATAATATTATAAAATACAGATGGCTATACATATATATACATATTATGTTAGTTAACTTAATTTTTAAAAAGAGGTTTTGCATCTGTATGGTTAATGTGTAATAAAAAAAATGTTATTATTCCTTTTTATTTTTCTAATGAAACCATATTTCTGGCTTGGTTTAGGCCATACAGTTCTAATTACTACATCTTCCTTTCTTAGACATATTTAGCGAAAGAAAAACCAAATAAAATATTTGTACAAGATGACTAATTTTCTTTTTTTATTGTGTAATATGGAGTGTATTGTAATAGTTTTTTAATTTATTTAGTAATTTTTCATGATATTAGCTTGGCTTAAATTTTGTACATAAATTATAGTTTTTATTTATTTTACAGATTTACTAATATATATATATAAAAAAAAAAATTAGAAATTAGAAATTATATATCTGTAATATGACCTTGTTATCTGATGGGTTTTTTGGTTTTACGCAGAATAATGTACAAAATATTTGTAAAAGTAAAAAAGTTTGTTTCCATCTACATTATCATATTTATTGAACTGCATAAAATTATTATGTTACAAAATTTATGCTTTGAGACAAAACGTAAGTGTAATAACTATTAATACTGATTACTTTTGGTGGTATTAATACTAATATTTTCAGCATACAATTTGATGTAAGTATTTCAATATAAAAACATGGTATTACAGGATTTTATTTTAAAGCATAAATTATCATGAAATAAAAAAAAGTAAAGAAATGATAAAACCTACATTTTGGATGTTGCAAAAACACACTTACCTATTAACTGACTTAATTATTTAATTATTGAAAAGAACACATTAAGGATTTAGTTTGATTTTAAGTCTCTTAAAATTCTATATTCAGATTACTACAATCATTTTATAAATAACTGATAATTTGTTGGCACATATTGACAAACATAGTTTTTACTAAGCAGAACTCATAAAAATATGAATTTTGCTTTAGTAATCATTGATAAAATGTAGTAGTGTTTTCTATTAAATTAATGCCTTTTCTTGAGGAAAACTGTTGAGAACAAATTGTAATATAGTTTTACAATATATTGTGGTTTAAACCTAATACATTGTCTGTTTACAGTCTATAGCTAGTGCAACATTATACTTAGCTAGTAAAGTACAAGACGAGACTATCAGACTTCGAGATTTGATTAATGTGTCTTATCACACATTGCATAGAGACGCGGCACCATTGCGATTAGCTGAAGATTATTGGAACTTCCGGGACTCCATTGTCAATACTGAAATGTTGATTATACGATATTTGCAGTTTGACACAACTTTTAATCATCCACATAGCGTAAATTAATTAAATCTATGTAAAGAAAGTAGATATTTGGAATAAGTTTGTTATTATTTCAGTATTTTTTGCACTACGTTCAGACAATACGGCCAGTTTTCTATTCAAAGCATGGCAAAGATGTCATCGTGTTTAAAAAGGCATATGATTTTTTACATGTAAGCTATAAAATTATTTTTGTTCAGCAAGTTTTTATTTTTAATAATTGTTTAATTTTTTAGGATTTCTATCATAGTAGTGCTATACTTCAATATAAGCCACAACATATTGCAATTGCTTGTTTGGAACTAGCAATCAAAGTGTATGGTATTCCATCTCAGATAATTGACTATGAAAAACAGCCTTGGTATCAGGTATAATTCTATTTTCACTGCTTTGATATTATTTAATTGTTCTCCTTTCAAAACATGTTTTTGAACTAGTTCAAATTTTTTTCGTTTTAGCAATTATTTGCACAAAATCGTTCTATTATATTGTCTGCAAAATACATACAAAATATGATCAAAAATTAAATGTGTGAAAGATCATTGGAATTTGAGAACAATTAATTGATGTATATTTTAGCTGATTTTTAAAAGGATACCAATCGTTTTGAAGTGATATGCCTCTTTCAACATTGCAGGACTTGTTGATGTTTAGTCATATAATTATTATAAATTATGTTTTTTGACATAACATACAGGGACATTTAAAGACATTTGGTTCACTTTCAATAAAAAAAAAAAAGTATATTATTTAGAACGCCTTGGGATGTTTTCTTTTTTAATTATTAAATGTAGATGTTCTTAAGTCAACAATGAAAAGTGTTCAATAGACATTTGAAAATCATTTAGAGATATACAGAATACAAACTGTGAGAACTACATGTATTTTATTTTTTAATAAAATTAACAAAAAGAAATTCCAATTTGTTTATTACTACAATAATAATATACAATTTTTAATACCGATATCATTGAGAGTAAATTCTAGACCATTTTCATAAATCTTCCGAGGATGTGATACCTGCATTTGTTGTCTCAATCTTGTAAACTTACAACATACCAAATTTATCTTTTGCAATGACAACTTTGTGCTGTTAGTTTTAATTTAAGTGAAATTTACCTGTTGTCAAATTTAACGATAAGAATATTATCTGTACAACATTTAATTATTTTTAACTTTCGAGAATCCAACCTATCTTTAGCATTGTGCTATTTCACTCTAAATTCTTTAAAATAACTACTGAAAAAATTCAGATTACGTTTTTATTTTTAAGTTTGATAGTATGTTTATTCACTAAAATATCAAAACATACAGCATATCATATATGTGGGTATCAATAAAAATGAATGCCAGTTTGAACAATATATAATTTTCAATAGTTGATATAGAGTACATGATATTTGTCCATTTTTTGAATTCATTTACTCAATGATGTTTATCTAAACAAATATTTTTTTTGTGGATTGAATTATTTTACAAGTCTGATAATATTTATGTAAATAACATACAATATATATGAATTCACAAATTTTTAAAAATGTGTAAAAATATTTAAGGTTTTAAATATTTTTAAGGCGCTGGTTGAAGATTTGGACAAGGTTACTCTTTGGAATGTAATGACAGCGATCATGGACACATACGATCTCGAGCCAACTACCAACTAAATGCAATATTATTCCTTTTATTTTGTGTTTGTATTTTTGTTTAAAATGTATTAATAATAATTCTTATAAAAGGAAAAAAAAATTAAATAAATAATAAAGATTATAAAAAAATCAGAAGTACAGTTTTTTTTTTTTTTGTTTAAATGTATATCCCACCCATAATGTTTTGCTTTTTCTTTTTTTTAAAAAAAAAAAACTTAGTGTATAACCAGATACAAATATTAGAAAAACCTAATTAACTGTATTAATAAATCATACATATGTATATTAAATTTCTTCATTTTATTTTAAAATATATATATATATAAAAAAAAAAATGCTTGAACTTGTCTTAATTTTTGAATATACATTAAATCTATTATTCGAATGAGAGGAAAACAGGCAGGCTTTTAATTATACAAGTCATCATCGGCATCATCTTGGAAAGCTGCCTGATCTCCACCAGTTGTTGTACTATTGGTGGCAGGTTGGCCCGTCGTCGATGGGAATCTGAAATTTGTGCCAAAACCTCGAGACTGTTGTAAAGTTTGTGAAAACATTTCATATTTGCGTATGTCATTATCAGTTACTGAACGACGCGCATACAACATAGCCTCTTCAAAATGAGCTTTTGTAATCTCCGGGACTGGATCATCTTCAGCTACATCAGTCTAAGAAATAAGATTGAATTATAACACTTTTAAAGTATTAGTAGCAATATAATTTACCTCCATTCCTTGATTATTGGCAGCTTCACGCTCACGTCTTATTTCTGCCTCAATACTTTGTCGAATAGCAAGTTTGCAAGCACGTTGACATACTTCAGTCAAGTCAGCACCTGAATAACCATGAGTGACCTTGGCAATATAAACGAGGTCAACATCCTAAAATAAATAAAAATTAAATAATGCACATCAAAATAATGTTATCAAAATATATGAATTTACTTTGGCAACTGGGGATTTTCTCAAATTAGCTTTGAAGATAGCTTCACGTGATTTTTCATCAGGTAGAGGAATATAAATCAATTGATCTAAACGTCCAGGACGAAGGATAGCAGGATCAATAATATCTATAATAACAGTAACATATTAAGTTTATTTTCAAACTGTTATTAAATAATAGAAAATAATTACCAGGTCTGTTGGTTGCACCAATTATGAATACATTTTTTTTAGCACCCATACCATCCATTTCTGTCAAAATCTGATTGATAACTCTGTCTGCTGCACCACCAGCATCACCAACATTTCCTCCTCTAGATTTAGCAATGGAATCCAATTCATCGAAGAACAGTACACATGGTGCAGCTGCTCTAGCCTAAACATATAATTAACAAATAGAGATTAGTGAAGTAGGCATATTATTTGGTGTATACTACTTATGTATACATTTAAATGTACTTACCTTATCAAATATATCGCGGACATTTGCCTCTGATTCACCGAACCACATAGTTAACAGTTCAGGACCCTTTACAGATATGAAGTTAGCTTGACATTCATTAGCAATGGCTTTGGCTAATAAAGTTTTACCGCAACCAGGAGGTCCATAGAATAACACACCTCGGGATGGTTGCATACCAAATTTCAAAAACTTGTCCGGATGTTCAACTGGATACTATGTTAAAAAAGATTTTTTTTTTTTATACAGCTTTAATAAATTATATTATTAAAGCGGTTTATAATAATTTACCTGAACAAGTTCTTGCAATTCCCGTTTTACATTTGCCAAACCTCCAATATCTTCCCATGTAATATTTGGAACTTCAACTACAGTCTCTCTCAGTGCACTAGGACTACTCTTACCCATGGCATACTAAAAATAAAAAAATAGATGTCATAACAACCAAATCAAATATTAATCAGTGACAAAAATACCCTAAAGTTTTCCATTGTGACAGCCAATGAATTCAAAACTTCAGCATCAATTTGATCATCTTCTAAATCGATAAGGTCCATTTTTTCACGAATTTGTTGAAGAGCAGCTTCAGAACATAATGAAGCAAGATCAGCTCCCACATGACCATGAGTTTCAGCAGCTATCTATTAACAGACAATTTTTACAAGTTGATAGAGATAACAGAATAATATATACAATAAAGTAGACTAACAATGTGAAATTAGATTAAAATAGGCAAAATTATAAAAATTAACACTAGAAAAGAGAAAATCTAAAATACTAGTATCTAATTTTAAAATTAAGATTAGAACAATTTAGATTTACAACATGGTTGTATTTAAAACTATTTTCTTAATAATAAAAAATAACAAGGATTATTTTTAGGTTTTTGGAATACAGCTTACGGGTCAATAGAAATTAATGAAGGTACTAGTTTTTTTTAAAAACTTTGTAGGAATTATTAACTTATATTTAATATGTTGAAATACATTTGTAGTATGACAAAACACAAATACCACAAATATGGAAGGGTGTCAACTTTATTTTTAATTATCTAGTTTATTTTACACCACAGATATGTACAATAAACTAATAATTTTAAACCAAAATAATTACATTTAAATACATAGATAAATAGATTGCAAATATATAATATACTAATAGATAACAAATATCAATATTACAAATGCATATTAATTTTTAGATTGATTTAAGTTAAGAATAAGACTAATTAAAATGAAAATGTTTTACATATGCATTGTACCATTATTTATTTGAGCTCTACTAAAAATAATAAATCAAAACAATTTTACATAATAACATAAAATAGCTGATACTACTAATGGGTCACTAGTGTAGGTGGGAAGTTAGGATACATAGTTAATTTATATATATAAACCATTTGTAAAAAAAAAAACGGTTCAGAGTGAAGTTCGGTTTTACATGAAGGGTACAGAAAAAAAACCAGATGTCACTTTTTTTTTTGCTAAATTGTGCAGTATTTGTATCAAATTTAACTTAAACAATTATATATATATAAAAAAAAATACTACCCTTAACTTTGTTTTTTACATTTATAACTAAGAACAACTTATAATGACTATCGCATTTAAGTTGGGTCAAACAATTTTATCCACATATACCCGGTGAGAAGATTGGAAAGTAAATAGAGGGAAATTTAAAATATATGTCTGAACATAACAATTATTTACTGTTAATAAAAAACGGTTTTCAGCAGAGTTCAATTACACATGTTTTAAAAGACTGTAATACGTAAGATTTTCATTAATTTGATATTAAAATTGTATAATTCACACAAATAAAATGTTTATACATGTCTACTTGTTGATAAGTAATGTTGATCAAAACATCATTTGCTTAATAAATAACCAAATCCAAAAAATACAACAAAAACACACTTTTGTCATTTTTTGATTAAAGCATTAATTAATTTTTTTTTTTTTTATAAATATAAAATAATGAAATCTGTAACACCGCAATGTGTTTTAAATATTTGTTAGTTTTTTCTATTTTTATGAAAACTCTTTGGAAATTTAAAAAAAAGTATCTTCATCATTTTACCGGAGCAAGATTTCTGATAGAAAAGTTGTTTACACAGACAAACACACAAATATTGAACAACATATTAGAACCAATAAATTCTTTGCTACAATAAGAATCTAAATTTTTTTAGTCATTCATTAAAATGAGTCGTATAGGAAATAATATCAAGAAAAAAAGCAAGTACATGTCAAACTATAAAATAAAATTATAATATCTTAATGTTTTAAACATTCGTTTTTTTTCTCGTGTTTATGACTTGTAACCCTGATTTACAATAAATAATAATTAATTGTAGCAAAATTAAACTAAATAGGAAAACAATATTACTATAATAACACTGTAACTGGTCATAAAATGTGATTAAAAATTAAGAAAAACAGTACACAATAGTTATACCTGTTCTAAATCAACTTCTTCAGCAAGTTTCATGTTCTTAGTGTGTATACGTAAAACCTCTAAACGACCAGTAGCATCAGGTATTCCAATATCAATTTCACGATCAAAACGTCCAAATCGTCTAAGAGCTGAATCGATAGAATTTGGACGATTAGTTGCAGCCATTACAATGACATGTGATGATGATTTTAAGCCATCCATAAGTGTTAATAATTGAGATACAATACGACGTTCTACTTCTCCGTGAGTCTAAAAAATAATGTTTAACAGTTACATATTTAATTTATGGTAAAAAAAATGTTACGGTTTATTTATCAAATTACTTTTTCACGTTTAGGAGCAATAGCATCCAATTCATCAATAAATATAATAGAAGGAGAATTTCTGTCAGCTTCTTCAAAGGCTTTCCGCAAATTACTTTCGGATTCACCAGCAAGTTTACTCATAATTTCAGGACCATTAATTAAGAAAAAGAATGCACCAGTTTCATTAGCAACAGCACGGGCAATTAAGGTTTTTCCAGTTCCAGGGGGTCCATATAATAAAATTCCTCTAGGAGGCTTTACACCAATAGCCTTAAATAGACTTGGATGCCGGAGTGGAAGTTCAACCATTTCTTTAATCTGTGCCAATTGTTTACGGCAACCACCAATGTCATCATAGCCAACTGTATTTGATGCTTCTTCTTCTTCCTAAAATATTTAATTAATTATTAGATATGTCAAAATTGATGAACAACAAATCTAAATATTTACTTCTCTTTTAATTGGATCTCCTTCACAATGAATAACAGTATCATAAGCAACAATACAATATGGTGATGGATCAGTTTCCACTACTTTAAATTCTACAGCTCTCATTCCTCCGCGAACAATAAAATTATCATCTTTATGTATAGGTCTATAGGCTTCTAAGAAGTAAGGCTTAAGGAATACTTCAAACAAATTACTACAAAATAATGATAAGTTTAATAATTAATAATGAGTTATGAAAATATAAATAAAACAAACTTACCCAGTAAGACCTTCTACAGTGTCATCAATAGGGAGTACATGAATGCGTTTTCCATACTTCACATCTGGACATTGTTGTATCTGTACAATATCAGATATTCTGACACGCAAATTATTACGCACCACTCTATTCATGCGTACTTTTTCATCTGAAACAGTTGCATCTGATAACACAATACAAACAGATTCCTTACGTCGTTTGCCTTTGATCAGTACAGTGTCTCCACGGAATAGTTGTAATTCATCCATTTTAGCCTAAAATTTAAGAATTATTAAAAAATTGAAGAATGAATGTTACAAATTATTTCAAATACAATAGTATTATTGAAATTTGTGTAAGTTTATATCTATTATTACATTATATTTTAGTCAAACAACTAACCTGTGATAATGCAATGACTGAATTGTCATCATTGATTGCTTCTTCTACAATAAGCCTATTTGGACGATCTTTTTGCTTTAAAATTGCAGTTGCTAACTCCTCGCTGTGAATATAGAGTTAAACACATTATTAATATTGAACAACCTTATTATGAATCAAAAAATATATATTATAATAGAGATGTGACAAAATGTTTGATTTTTGAACTGAACTATCGGGTATTTGGTTTAGTTCAAAAATTATCCAATGCTGATTTTACATGGTCACCAATATGATGTTCTATGGGTAAATCATGGAGCCGAGTAGTTTGAGAACCTAGGGTTTTGATCTCACCTAAATTTTTTAAGTTCAATAAATTATTTTAAAAGTTTGGTCTGATCTAAAAGTCAGGATTCGTAACTAAAAAAAAGAAATTGTAATTTACAGAGTACATGTTTTAGGAGGCTTTACAAATAAAAAACTTCTTTTTATTTTTAAATGTTTTGATATTTTCCAATTTAACCAAATCATGGGCGTCGTCAAAAAAAAACTGAAAAATTAAAAATATCTAATATTTAATCACATTTAAATAATTGTGTATGTTAGTACCTGAATGAAAGTTACATTAAACGTTTTTTAAATACTTTTCTTATTACTTAAGAGCTAGAATTTAAAACCGAGTGTAGCACAATCTAAGTCATGGTTGCTCTGGAGTTGAAATATGTTGCATTCTCATTTAACAAACAGATTATATAATGCGGCTTAATGAACAATGTGGCTACCGGCACATAAAACAATATATTTCAAGTTATAAGGAAACTGACAGTTTACCAGTTCATTAGAAAATAGATGGTGTAGCTAGTAATACACTATTGTAAACTGTTATTATAAATACCTAATCAATGTACTTAATATAAATATCCTAGAATCTAAATACATAATAAGAGTTTAAATTAAATGTTATTCAGTGAAGCTGCAATAAAATATATACACGTTAAATATTAATTCACAGTGGAAAAATAAATGTACAACAATTAAGACAAAAATATTTTTCATTTTTTAGTTACCAAAAAAAAAAAAGTTATAAAACAAGTAAATGGAGTATCTGGTGGTACTTTGTAAATGTAAAAAAATACATGAATATTCTAGTAAAAAACGTTCTAAGTTTTTAGTTTACATATGTAAAAAGTTCCTACAGATTTAAATATTAAATTGATACAAACACAATTAGTGTGCCAATATTTTTGCCTTAAAAATAATTTTACGTTTAGAGAATTCTTAGTGGTGGACATGAGAAGGAAATACCAATGTAGTAATAATACATACCTATATGGTTGCATGTCAAAGTGAATAGACCATTTAGTACCGATTTTAAGTATTATTGAAACAAATTAGTTTTGTTTATAAAATACGACGATCAGTCGTTAACTTTACAAACAAAAAGATACAGTTTTTACTATAAGTACTGGTAATATTTTAGACTGAATACCGCCATTCTTGCTAACTGAAATTAATTACGTGTCTCTGAGGGGAGGCGTGGAGGGGGGCACAAACGCGGTTCTACAAGATTAAAACTTGTAAGCATGTTATATCTTCGATATTCAATAATAGTTATAAGAATATAATAGGGCGAAGAAATAACTAATGAAATAAACTCATTATTTTACTACTTACCCTTTTGCTGGTTCGGACATGGTCGGCAGCGGTTAAAAAAGTTAAGTTTTTGAAAATCGTTCGTCGGCGTTGGACAGAGAGATTTCGCACACTGTCGATATACCTTTGACGACGGTAAGAAAATAACGATTAAGTTTTTGGGCGCACCAGTTAAAGAATGGTAAGTAAAAAGTAACAAAAAAAGAAACTAAAAAGGAACACGAAACAAAAGCGGATGATACAACGGCAATATGACCAAAGACGATGTATGTATGTGTGCGTGATGTGTTACGAGTATTTATTTAAGTGTGTGTGTGTGTGTGTAGAGACGGTGGTGGTAGGGACCGGGAAATCAAAAAAGCACAATCATGCCGTGGCCTAAGATGGCGGCCCGGGAAAAACGGTCGTGCCAACGGTCGCCCCGGTCGAAATCGTTTTCACACCGTGCCGGCTGGGCGAAACGTTCGGTCCGTTGTACCGTACTACCGTTATTCCTTACTCTATCGTCTCCATGGTGGTTGTATCATTCAACGTTCAGTCGAATACCTACAGGCGACCGTTTTCATAATGACGGATTTTTCCGTAACTGCGGTACTCTCCGAAAATTCGCGACTGATCACCGACCACACTGTCTGTCAACCGTTTTCTGATAATAAATTATCAGATAATGTATTATCTATGGTCGAATGTACAAGTTGTATTACGTTGCTGTGTGTGCTCTGACCACAAATATATATATAAAAACTAGATAGTCGACTCCCGTGTACAATTTTGATGCCCAACGCCATATTTTTTCACTTGACAATATTTACATATTCTTTTGTTACCAAACAATATTTTATGTTAACGTAATTTATGGTTATTAAATTTATCTGCGATTAGGACGGCATAAAAATGATAAGAATTTGTAAACGTTCCAATTAATGGGATTGTTTTATATTTTTATGGTTTGATTTACAATAGTTTTAAAATTGGATCTTATATCTGAAAGTTGAATTTGTAGGTCTGAAACAGCATCCAATCTATTTGTGTACTTATTTTTGGTACAATCAAAAGAGGAGAAACCAGCCTAACAACGGTAGGTTGTTACAAAAGGTACCTAATACAGTTAGAATAGCTTTTTCAGCTAGAATGGGTTAGATCCTTAAGTCCAATCCAAAACTCGTTTAAAAATCCGGATTTAAATTTTTGTTTTAAGGATGACATACTCTTAATTTCAATAAGGTTTTCATACTCAAACATGGATAACATGACAATTCCAAGTGGGTATAATATAAAATCATTTTCTCAATATTCACGTACACCTGACGGAACCCTTGAGATTCCACGGAACACCGTGGAACAATCTCATCAGAATCGTTCTTACACTTTGATAATCGCTGGTCTATGTTGTATATTTATATGCTATGTACTTTACCACGATTTAAGATAATTTTCAATATTATCTTGAATCGCGTTCATTACTTATCAAAGTTGGATTTATAATAAATTTAACTGATAGCGTGGCATCCGATTAGAATTTTTAAACAATACATTAGACACTATTAGAGAGTATTATGCAAGTCATTTTTAAATATTGTCATTAATGATTAATATTAATTTGACCTTATAAATGGTCATTGATATTGTTTTATTGTTTTGTAATTTATAAAACGATGTGTTTACTTTGTTATTATCTTATTGTGTTTTCAGTTATACTAGTAGAAACAAATTAGAATACCTAGTGTATTATATATACCTATTATATTTCTTCTTCTCCTTCGCCTTTATCCCAACTATATATTCCGGATAAATATAAAATAATAAATACCGACACTAACTATTGATTAATCGATGGCTATATTTATGTTTTACAAAGCAAACATTACTAATTTGAGAAAGGTTTTAGATTTTGTAGTATTCAAATTTAGAAATACATTTAAAATGCCCAGTCTGCTTAATTTATAAAAAAAGAATGATCTCAAACTTTTTAGATATTCTACCAATAGTGGTACAATAATGGCAACATGTAATTCATACTCTACATCTAACTTTAATTATTAAAATAAATGTGTTTGCATAAAACATTTATTATACACATATAATAAGGGAAAACAAATCATGGGTCCAAAAACTAGCTTTGTGGTATGTACAGTAAGCGTTGTTGGTGGAGTTAAAGTGTAAAATACTCTAACATCAAATATTCAAAACGTGTCTATCCAAATAAATAATTGTTTCATTTAATATTCAAGGTTAAAGAATGTTTTATTCGCCACATTAATAGTCATTATATATTTAATGAAATAGTTGGTGATATTTTGAATGATGGATATCTTGGATTCCCTTGCATTGAATATTAGAATCCTGTAACTTTTAAATTATGGACAAACTAGAATATGGCTCCAAACATGCATTTAAAGACTAATATGTGGGCATAAGAACACAAGATCTGTAAAACGTTATGCTAGGTACAGTACAAGAGAGTTAGGCTACTTAATTTAGGTGGTGCACTGTGTGTTACAGCTCATGAAAACCCAATTTTTGTGGAATTAATATTTTTCAAGAGGAAATGCCCTCCTCGTCCTCCCCTAAATGAGTGTCCATAAACATAAGGACAATATTGTTAATTATTGTATAGTTAATAAAATATAATCTAAATATGTACAGGTATTCATATGTGACAATTCACCAAAATAATGGTATCTAATTAAATAAAGGTAGTCAAAAAAGAAGACATTTTCTAAATTATATAAAACTATACTCTTATATTATTTTGACTGATGTGATATTTTTATTAATTTATAATCTTATAATATATCACATATAATAGTAGTTTTGATTATTATAGGTAATTCATAGTATTATACAATCAGTGTCGGATTTAGACTTTTGGGGGGACCAGGGTAAACAATATTTGAAAGAATGAAGGCTCACACTTTTATAATATAATCAATAGGGTATGTACATTATGTTCAATGATTAGTCTTAAAGACTGAGAACAAAATAAATTTCATTAAAATATATTGCTTAATGTGAGACGTTCAATTCAAATTAAAAAAAATTAGTACTTGCATTACTTTTAGAATTTGAGCGAAATGAGGATTGTTATGGTTTTACGATGATGTTTACTGTTTTTTATTTTTTCTCTGTGGACAACTTTTATACAAGCCATTTCGCTCCGATTTTCAATGGTAGTACTTTTTCTAAAAGGAAATCTGACTGAGGAGTTTATGTTTTAATTTTCCCAGGAGTTTTTCCAATAAATGGAAAAATAGGTACAATATTAAACAACTATTATTAAAGAAAATATATGTAATTATTTTACCATAATATGATATGTATATATAATATTGGCAAAGCAATACTATTAACCGAACTCCGCTCAGAATCATTTTTTTGTTAGCAATAGTTAATCAATGCTTACTGATATACATTAAATTACCTATAACAGTGGCTGCACTTATTCCTATTATCTTAGGACAGCTTTTGCTTTTTTTTTTTTTATTAAAACTTGCTAGGTATTTAAAATAAAGTAAAGTTAGTTATTTTATTATATTAGGTAAACAAAAATACTGTATAATTTATACATAAATTTATTAATGCATTTAAAATAATTTATAATTTTTAATAACAAATAAAATAAATCGATAAATTTAAATTTAAAAATTAAATATCTGCAACTATAATTTGTTTGGACATATTTTGTTTTAAAATGAAAGGTTTTTTAAAATTCAATAAAACAATTTAAATAAATAATTTTACATAAATCGATTATATAATTTTAAAGTTATTTATAAAAATAGAAAATCAAGTAGCTATAGGTATCTATAACTTCAAAAAGTAATTTAGTATAATGTACATTAACAAATTCTTATTAATTTTTTTATATTTTATTATTATAATATATATATAATAAATATATATACACATAATATGATAATAATACGCATGCCCAGTCAATGTAAGTATATTAAACAGTTTACCTTCAAATATTTCTATTCTTGGCAATACGGAAAACAAGTACAACCAGAATAGCATTTTATACTACAGTGAATTTTATTATATATGAAAAGTCTATATAGGCATTGACACAATATTACAAACTAAATATTTTCGTAAAATGATTATGATATTTTTATTATAATATTGATAATACTAATTGTTTTAAAGTTTTTGGGGTCCAAAAATTTAGTGGTCCGTGGCAAGTACCCTTAATTTCCCCCTCAATGGTGCCCAGACAGGTTAGCAAATAGTGCAACTGCATGTGTTCTTGAGGTGTATGGGTTATAGAGTTTTTATGTGTAATGATCTTCATAGTTCATACATTATTTCCTAATATTTATATTATACTGAAACTGTCTTTGACCTTGCCAGTCGAAATTGTAACAACAGAAAGAAGTTTCTCAAAGTTAAGACTCATTAAAACTAAACTACTATCTATAATGGGAAATAATCGAATGGAAGAACTAATGATTATGTCCTATGAAAATTACATAAACATTAATTATGAATAAGTTATTGAACATTTTAGTAAAACCAGTCCATATTTATTTAAAGTGTTACATTAACGTGTGTATATTGTATTTGTTTATTATACAATGTTAAATGTGTAGAGGATCAATTGCATTATATTATTTGAAATTTATTGTAATAAAATGTTAAGGTAAGATAGATCTAGGGCATCTTGGGTTTCTGGTGTATGCATCTTAATTATTATTTCAAGTTATTTTAAGAGTTGTATTTATATATAATATATAATTTATATATAAACAACTTTATTCACAGTTTAATTTACGGTTCATTTGTTGTATTAAATTCTTTTGTTTATATAGGTATATTATTTATCTTATATAATAGTTTTGAAAAAGAATTGAGACAACGCTATACTAGCATTTAATGTCCTCTTGACTCTTGCGTATTATTTACTTGTTTTCCATTATAAAAATATTACATGTACTATATACACCTAAATAGATAATATATAAAGGGCAACTATTTAATTTAAAATAATTCAAACAAATGTTTTGTGAGTATAAGTGTGGAGTTTTTTTAAAATAAAAAAAATGGGTGGGCGGATGGATAACTTTTGTTAACTGTATGTGCTCTCAAAATACTTCTGTGCGCCACTGCCACCTCCCCCCTCCGTAAATCTGGCACTGCATACAATTATGTTTATGTTGGTTACTATACGCCAAGCGGAAATATTACAAATACAATTATCACTATTTATTTTAAGTAAGGAATTAAAATCTGTTGAGTATTGACATATTCTCAAAACACAGCCTCTATTGAACACTTGAACTCGTAACTGGTAGTGACAACAAGT